GAGGATAAAATAGAAATTGAAAGAATCTACCAATCATCTCCTTAAAGAGATCCCAAAATGAAAACTCCTAGGAATATTATATCCAATAATCCAGAACTCCCAGGTCAGGGAGGAAATATTGTAAGCAGCCAGAAAGAAACAATTCAAATATTGGGGAGCCATGTTCAGGATTACAAAGAGTTTAGCAGCTTTTTCATTAACATATTAGAAGGCTTGGAATATGATATTCCAGAAGGCAAAGGAGCTAGGATTACAACCAAGAATTACCTACTCAGTGAAAATTAGTATAATCTTTCAGAGGAAAAAATGGATATTTAATAAAATAGAGGACTTTCAAACATTCCTAATGAAAAGACCAGAGCGGAACAAAAGATTTGATCTTCAAATACAAGGCTCAAGAGAAGCATGAAAAAGTAAACAGGAAAGAGAAAACATAAGAGACTCAATAAAGTTAAACTGTTTATAGTCCTATATGGGAAGATGATACTTGCAACATTTTTTTTATCTTATTTTATTTAAAATTTTTTTTTCTTTTTGGTGAGGCAATCAGGGTTAAGTGACTTGCCCAGGGTCACACACAGCTAGTTAAGTGTCAAGTGTCTGAGGCCAGATTTGAACTCAGATCCTCCTGACTCCAGGGCCGTACTTTATGCACTGCGCCACCTACCTGTCCCACTACTACTCTTAAGAACGTTATCACTATTAGGGCAATTAGAAGGAGTATACATAGAGGTTGCAAGTGTGAATCAACTATGATGGGATGGTATAAAAAACATTAATGGGTGAGAAAGAGGATTACATTAGGACAAGAGTGAAGACAGAGATAAAATGAGGTAAATTATCTCACATAAAAGATATGTGAAAGTGCTGTTACAATGGAGGGGAAGATAGTGGGTTGGTAGGCAATGCTTGCACCTTACTATCATCAGAATTGGTTCAAAAAAGGAATAACATACACACTAGTTGGATATAGAAATCTATCTTATCCTACAGAGAAGTAAGAAGGGATGGGGGGATAAGAGAACTGAGGGGTACTAATAGAAGGGAGAGTAAATTTGGGGAGGTGGTAGTCAGAAATAAAACATTTGTGAGGAGGGACAGGATAAAAGGTAAGAGAGAGAAAGAAGCATAAATTGGAGAAAATAGGACAGAGGGAAATACACAGTTAGTTATCTTAAGTGTAAATGTGAATGAGATGAACTCACCCATAAATCAGAAATGGATAGTAGAATTGATTAAAAGCCAGAATCCTACAATGTACTGTTTACAGGAAACACATTTGAAGCAGAGAGACACACACACAGAGCAAAGGTAAGGGCCTGAACAGAATCTATTATACTTAAGCTGAAGAAAAAAAAAAGCAGGGGCAGCAATCATGATTTCAGATAAAGCAAAAGCAAAAATAGATCCAATTAAAAAAATAAGTAAGGAAACTATATTTTGCTAACAGGTACCACAGACAAAGAAGTAATATCAATACTAAACATATATGTACCAATTGGTCTAGCATCTAAATTTTTAAAAGCAAAGTTAAATGAGTTACAGGAGGAAATAAGCAGTAAAACTATACCAGTGGAGGACCTCAACTTTCCCCTCTAGGAACTAGATAAATTCAACTAAAAACTAAACAAGAAACAAATTAAGGAGATGAATAGAATTTTTTAAAAAGTTAGATATGATAAACCTCTTGAGGAAATTGAATGGGAATAGAAAGGATTATACTTTTTTCTCAGTGGTACACGGCACCTATACAAAAACTGACTATGCCAAGTGCAGAAAAGCAGAAATATTAAATGCATCCCTTTCAGACCATAATAAAATAAAATTACATTCAATAAAGAGTAGTGAGAAAATAGATTAAATATTAGTTGGAAACTAAATAATCTAATTCTAAGGAATAAGTGGCTCAAAGAACAAATCATAGAAACATTATATAGAAACAAAACATACAAACAAAGGACAAATCATTAAAGAGAATACCAAAATTTATGGGATGCAGCCAAAGTGGTCTGTAGGGGAAAATTTGTATCTCTAAATATTCACATCAGTAAAATATAGAAAGAGCAAATCAATGAACTGGACAGGCAACTAAAAAAAAAAAGCCCAAGAAAAAGGCAAATCAAAAATCCCCAGTTAAACATCAAATTGGAAATCCTGAAAATCAAAGGAGAGATTAATAAAATTGAAAGTAAGAAAACCATTGAATTGATAAAAAAAAAATCTAGATGTTGGTTTTATTAAAAAAAAACAATAAAATAGATAAATCATTGTTAATTTAATTTTAAAAAGGAGCAAAGAAAACCAAATTGCCAATATCAAAAATGAAAGGGGTGAATTTACCAAAATGAAGAGGAAATTAAAGCAATTATTAGGAGCTATTTCACCCAATAATATGCCAATAAGTCTGACAATCTATGTGAAATGGATCAATATTTACAAAAATATAAATTGCCCAGATTAACAAAAGAGGGAATAAAATAGGTAAATAATCTCATTTCAGAAAAATAAGTTAAATAAACCACCAATGAACTTTCTAAGAAAAAAATCCTCAGATCCAGAAAGATTCACAATTGAATTGTACCAAACATTTAAAGAACAATTAATTCCCATACTACATAAACTATTTGGAAAAAACAGGTGAAGGAGTACTACCAAATTCCTTTTATGAGACAAATAAGATGCTGATACCTAAACCAGAAAGAAAACTATAGACCAATTTCCCTAATGAATATTGATGCAAAAATTCTAAATAAAATACTAGCAAGAAGATTACAGAAATATATCACAAGGATCATATACTATGACTAGGTGGGATTTATACCAGGAATGCTGGGTTGGTTCAATATTAGGAAAACTATCAACATAATCAACCACATCAATAATGAAAGCAACAAAAATCATATGATTATCAAAATAGATGCAGAAAAAGCCTCTGACAAAATACAACAGCCATTCCTATTAAAAAACACTAGAGACAATAGAAATAAATGGAGCTTTCCTTAAAATGATAAGTTGTATCTATTTAAAATTATTCCCAAGTATTATCAATAACAGGGATAAACTAGAAGCCTTCCCAATAAGAGCAGGGGTAAAGCAAGGATGCTCATTATGACCACTATTATTCTTCCTTCCTTCCTTCCTTCCTTCCTTCCTTCCTTCCTTCCTTCCTTCCTTCCTTCCTTCCTTCCTTCCTTCCTTTCTTTCTCTCTTTCTTTCTCTCTTTCTTTCTTTCCTTTTTTGCAAGGCAATTGGAGTTAAGTGGCTTGTCCAGGGTCACACAGCTAGTTCAGTGTCAAGTGTCTGAGACCAGATTTGAACTCAGGTCTTCCTGATTCCAGGACCTCACCAGCATTATTCAATATTGTATTAGAAATGTTAGCTATAGCAATAAGAGAAGAAAAAGAAATGGAAGGAATTAGAAAAGGCAATGAGGAAGCAAAACTATCACTCTTCACAGATAGTGTGATGGTATTCTTAGAGAATCCTAGAGAATCAACTAAAAACCTACTGAAATAGTTAACAATTTTAGCAAAGTTGCAGAATATAAAATAAACACACATAAATCACCAGCATTTCTATATATTACCAAAAAAGTCTAGCAGCAAGAGATAGAAAGATAAATCCATTTAAAATAACTGCAGATGACATAAGATACTTGGAACAAACCCAAGAACTATATGAACACAACTACAAAACACTTTTTCACATAAATAAAGTCAGTTCTAAACAATTGGAAAATATTAATTGCTAATGGGTTGTTTGAGCCAATACAATAAAAAATGACAATTCTACCTAAATTAATCTACTTATTCAGTGCAATACCTATCAAAATACCAAAAAATATTTTGTAGAGGTAGAAAAAAACAATAACAAAAAAGAATACAAGTCATGGTCAAAAGATATGAACAGGCAATTTCCAAAAGAAGAAACCAAAGCAATCTAGTCATAGAAAAAATGCTCTAAATCACTATTGATTAGAGAAATGAAAATTAAACAACTCTGAATTATCACTTCACACATCACATTGGCTATATGACAGAAAAGGAAAATGCTGTTGGAAAGGGTGTGGGAAAACTGGGACACTAATGTATAGCTGATGGAGTTGTGATCCAACAGTTCTGGAAAGCAATTTGGAACTATGCTGAGTAGGCTATAAAGGGCTATAAAACAGTGCATATCCTTTTATCCAGCAATACCACTACTAGGTCTGTAATCTAAAGTGATAAAAAAGGGGAAAACAACTTTAAGTACAAAAATATCTATAGTAGCTCTTTTTGTGGTGGCTAAGAATTGGAAATTGAGAGGATATCCATCAATTGTAGAACGGCTGAACAAGTTGTGCAATATGATTGTCATGGAATACTATTGCGCTATAAGAAATGATGAATAGGATGCTTTTAGAAAAACCTCGAAATACTTACATGAATTGATGCAGAGTGAAGTGAGCAGAACCAAGAGAACATTCTACATAGTAACAGCAATACTGTATGATGAATAACAATGAGTAATTTAGCTATTCTCAGCAATACATTGATCCAAGAAAATCCTAAAGGACTCATGATGAAAAATGCTGCCTCCAGAGAAAGAAATGGTGGGGTCTGAATACAGACCAAAGCATATGCTCTCTCTCTCTTCTACCTTTTTCTCTTTCCATTCTTCTTTCTTTCCTTCCTTTCCATCCTTCTTGCTTTCCTTTTCTCCCTCCCTCCCTTCCTTCCTTTCCTCCTTTCTTTCCTTTCTTCCACCAAATGACTAATACGGAAACATGTTTTACATGATTGCATATGTATAACCTATATCAGATTGCTTATTGTCTCAGAGAAAGAGAAGGGAAGGAGGAAGAGAATTTGGAACTCAAAAAAAACCCTGCAGAATGTTTGTTTTTATATATAATTGGGGAAAAATAAAATATTATTAAAAAATTAAAAAAAAAGTATCAGACATTTTTACACAAGCAAGCCCAAGTTCCCCAGGGGTCACCATATAATGTGAACACTCACCATCAATTCGCAGATGTTTCAGGAGATCCTGATATTCACCTTCTGTGAGTATGATCCCCATGTCCTTCAGAAAGTTTTCCAGATTTTGAGCATCAATGTTTTCTGTTTACAAAAGATGAGAATGGTGAATGATGGGAATGTGAGGAATATATAATGACTCCAGAGGGTGAAAGATGCCACCTATTCCTGTATTTCATCATCTCCAAATTCAACAAGAAGAGGAGAGTTAGTCTTTGAGATAAGCCTACACATAAAGTAAAAGTCATTTGGGAATTCAGAAATAGAACTGTTTCCTTCCAGTTCAGGGGACTATGCTAGACTGAAGAGGCCTACAATGAGGAATGTAAAATGGTTATCTGGTGAACAGTGGCAAAATCAGTGACGCATTAAGATGCATAGGTCTAGCTAACAAGTAGGGTTTCCTTATCTTTGCCTCTATCCCAATTGTTTTGATTCATCCAAATGCAATCCCACACTTCAGCATTGGCTTGGAGACCTAGAATGTTGTCTGTCTCAATACTGTAGCAAAAGTGAAGTATGAACATATATATTACATTCCAGGAAATTCAAGATTTACTACAAAGAGACTAGAGAGAATTTGGTAAACTTGCAAGTGGATTTAAATAGAGTTGATGATCATTTAATACCTTCATCCACAACAAGTAATGTCACAGTTGTTTTCCTAGGCTCCTGACTCTCTCTCACCCCTATTCTCCTACAACCAATCAGTTGACAAATCTTGCCATTTCTCCTCCATAACATCATTCACATCTGTCCCTTTTTCTTTCTACTCACATAGCCACATCCTTAGCTTAAGACATCATCCACCACTCCTTTGAAGAGATGTTATAATGGCTTCATCTCACTGCCTCAAGAGTCTCTTCCCCTCCAATCCATCTTCCATGCAACTGCCAAAACTTTTTAAACATATATCTACTGATCACGTCACCCATTAAACTCCCCTGGTTCCCTATTTCTCCTAAATCAAATGTATATACTCCTGTCTATGGTTTTTAAAGCCCTTTACAACCTGGCCCTAACCTGCCTTTCTAATCTTATATATCACTTTCTTTTGTCTACCTTATGTTCTTCACAGATGGCCTTCTATTTCCTGTCTCTGTATTATCTTACTAGCTGTCCTCCATGTTCTCCTTACTTCTTCCTCAGAGTCCCTTTCTTCCTTCAAGGGGAACCACAATCTCTGCCTTCTATGAGGAGGTTTTCTTGATTCCCATACGGCTAGGACCCTCCCTCCCAAATTATGTTGTATTTATTCTGCATATATTTACATGTGTACATGTCATCTTTCCCAAGAGAAAGCAAGCTCCTTGTGAGTTGAGACCATTTCACTGGTTTTGTACCTTCAGTGCATAGCACGGATTTAATGGGCACTGAATGAATGCTTCCAAGTTGATTATCTCAGTCTTTGCAGATCACCAAATTATTTGTAATATATACTGTTTAGAAAGCTCCCTGAGAAGAGAAGTAACTTGCCCCACAGTCACACAACTAGTTAGTGTCAGAAGCAGGATTTGAATATAGGTCTTCTTGACTTTAAGGCTGTACTTCTTTTCACTATGTCATGCTTCTTCTCCTACATTTTTCTGAAAAAATACTGAGATATTGGTTTTTACCTGCCATCTCCTCATAACCTCTTACTCACCTTTAATAGATTTCACATTATCCATAACTTCATTGAGGGCAACTTTCCCATAAGCTGTAAGATAAGGCAGAGGTTAAAGAGATCTGAAGATGCAGAATCTCACAAAATTACATTAAAAGCATTATATTGCATTCTGAAATTATGAGAGAGCCCAAAGAAAGTTAACATTTTTCTCTGAACCCAGTCAATTACCTTGGAATTTTATCCTATTTTCTCTAGAGATTAATTTATAATAAGCAGCCAAGGAATGAAGAAAGCTCTCAATCTGTAAATTGATGATAATAATAGTGATAATAATAGTTAGCATTTATATATGGCTTTAATGCTTGCAAAGTGCTTTTAAAATATTAACTCATTTTATCCTCACAAAAACCCTGAGTGGCAAGTATTATTATTATTATCTCCATTTTACAGATGAAGAAACTAGGCTCAGAGAGTTTAAATGACTTGCCTAGGTTACATAGCTAGTAGATATCTAAGGCTTTGAACTTGGGTCTTCCTGACTCTGGCTCTAGTCCTGTACCCACTGTACCACAACCTCACACAATCATTCAGCGAGCTACCCTTTTCTTTGTTATTGAGCATCAGAAGAACTTGTAATCACACATTTTAGACATTTAGACATTTAGGCATATCAGACTTGGGACATTTTAGGAATAAGATGAACAGAACTGGCTGCTTCCTATCTCTTGACCTCCGCTTCCTCCTCTGTGAAATGAAGAGACTAGAGTAGGTGAGGTCCATGTCTCTTCTCAGCATGAACATGATAAGACTCTGTGTACTAGGAAAACTGCCATTTTTTTTTGATAACACAAGGAAAAGAGGAGCTAGTTTTTTCTTTCAATGTTCTGACTACACTCTTGTATGTGGTTAATACTTTATGTATCTTTGCTTTCTCTAATTGGTTAAGTATAAGATATGTTGTCCAGGAGGACACAAATATATAATTTATTATAAAAATTATGTTTAAATAGCATTTAAATTATTCCAGTGGAAACAGGTATGGTCCCTGTAGAAGAACAATCCCATTTAGTAGGCTCACTTTGTGAGAAGTGAGAAATTGAAGCACTTAATTATAGAGGAGGTTTATTCTATTCAATTCAAATGTATGATATAGGACAATTAAACATTTTTTAAAAAATGTACAAACTATTTTACATAAATTGTATCACTTAAGCCTCACAGCAGCCCTCTGAGGTCTTTCCTACAGGAATCGCTACCAGGTGTGTACATTCTAAATGTCATCTCCAACTCTTCCCTTTCCCCTCTTCCTCACATCCAAATCAATTGCCAACTGGTTCTCCTTTTATGATCTATCTGCTTGCATCTCTCCACCCACACTCACATTGGGCATTGGTAGGTGTCAATTTAATTTAGATGTAGTATTCACTTTAGGTTTTGGGGGCCCAAATGACTCTCAAAGGCAGCCTAAGAAATGAGAGAAGGTTTGCAAAATGGGTTGGTATAGGGAATACATTGACAAGGTCATGGATTCTTGAAATATTGAAAATTCATACCCCTTGACAATTGGCCAGAATGGCTTAAGACTCAATGGGTTTTTTTGTTTTGCTTTATACTAAAATCATGGATGTTGGCATGTTTAGTCTTTTCAAATGCATTCTAATTTTTAAGTAGCTTATAACATATACGTCTTCCATTAGTGAAATAAATTTTTAAAGACTCTGCTGGCAAATCATCAGTCGTCTCCTTTACAAAACCAATAAAGCTAAGTAGATAAAGGATCATTTTCAGAAAGTTGCACACTAGATGATTACTTTTTTCTTTTTTTGGCCAAGGAAAGATGAAAAGATATACTTAGATATGCTTGTGTTACAATCTGCTCAAAATGCTCAGACCAATGAAAACATAGATCTTTTGAAATAATAATAATGATATTGGCATTTACATAGTACTTTCGGGTTTGCAATACTGTACATATATATATATGCAAATATATATATATTTTCTCATCTGATTCTCAGAACAATCTTATGCAGCAGACACTACTATTATTCCTATTTTACAGATAAGGAGTGAGGTTAAATGAAGACAAGTGACTTGTCCAGAATCAAACCAGTAAGTATCTAAAGCAGCATTTGAACTCAGATCTTGTTCAGTCCAAGTCCAGTACTAGAAAATTTCATCTGACTGCTTAGGATTCCCAATCACAGTCACATTGTGTTTCTCCTCTTAAAGATGGCCATTAGGTAGCTGAGGTGAGGCCTGCGGTAAAGAGTAAGGGATCTTCCATTCCTGTGTTCTACCCAGTGGCATTCTGGGAGACTCTTGACTTGAAAGTTCAGTCAGAGATAATATTTCATCACACATTATGATGGGCTTTCTCTATAGGTATTTCTATCTTTTCATGTGAACTAAATTAGGATCCTTTCAGAAATTCTCAGACAGCAAGGAAAAGCTTCACCAAAAGCACAAGAGCTTGTGAAATAATATCTGTTTGAAGGAATAAGAAATGGGGCAAAAGAAATGCTCACCATCAACTGGCAGGTGACTCAATAGCTCCTCAATTTTGCCATCTGTGAGCTTGATCCCCAGGTTTCCCAGAACTTTGTCCAGATTGTTAATGTTAACATTCCCTCCTTCAGAAAAGGAGAAAATTGAAGAACATAATCAAACAAGCATTCATTAAGTCCTTATTATATGTTAGGCACTGTATTAAATCACAGGGATTCAAAACCAAGTCAAGTCAAAAATCATTCCTTAAGTGCTTACTATGTGCCAGGCAATGTCCTGAATGCTGGGAATAAAAAGAGAAGCAAAAGCACTGTCTCTTCCTTCAAAGAGCTCACAGTCTAATGAGTGGGACAAATAAGTAAAATATGGAATTGTGCCCAAGAGTGACAAATTGTATAAAGCGTATACCTAAATACAATTATTCAATGGATTTCAGAACGGGCTTCATCATTCCCAGTTTGAGGATGAGATAATACAAATAACAGTTCTAAGGACACACATGGAGAGTCACTAGGAGAGCTTGGAAAATGATCTGTTGCTGCGATTCTGGTCCAAGAGACCCTGACAATCTTTTCAAGAGAAGCCTTCACAGCACACAGTAAGGAATGAATTGGTCAAAGCTGATGGATTCTGGCAAAACAGACAGCTAATCTACATACTTTAGGCCAAGAGGTTTGAAGTTCTCTACAGTGATAGAATCTGTTGAATTACTTCTTCCAGGGTAGCTATACATTAAGGACTGAAGGTCATGATGCAGAAACCCTGAATCAGTAAATTGGAGGAATAAGAGAATTCATGTTATAATCGTTGAGAAGAAATAAAACGGTTTTTCACTTACCACTGAGATTCTGCAAGGCATTCATTATAATTTCCTCATTCACCTTTCCTTTGGCTGTAAGAGAAGGTGCAATTCAGGTCATGGAGGAAGTAACAGAGAATTACAATAATAGCACAGAGTTCATCATTTTGTAAACTCAGCCTATAAAGACTGTCCTATACCCTCCTTGCTTCCCCAAATGAGAATGAAGAAAGAAGAGCTCTCAAGGGGATGAATCCATCCGTTTTATTAACACAGATTCTTCTGACTCTGGTAACACAATCCATTGTAGTGAATGGAAGATTTATTACAGAGAAAAACTTTCCTTCAAACAGGTATTATTTCACAAGCTCTTGACTTGAATACCTTTTTTAAAGAAAATAGCAGATAGTACTGGTTTGGTTAACAGACTTTTTTTCTGTTGCGTGAAACTTTGAGTCTGTATTACGTATAACTTATTTTAAAAGAATATGATAAATTTAACAAAGTATTTCCCACATTGTGCTTCTCTAACTTTTTCTGAATGCCTGTTCTCTTTTGTGTATTTTATACCTCTTTCATTGATGTTCTGTTCATTCTTTTATCATTTTTTGCATCACTATCACTACTTCTTCTTTCTCCCCGTAATACCATCCCTCTACCCCCAGTAAAAACCCTGTTATCATTGTTCAGTAGTGTTCTACTCTTCATGACCCAATGTGAGGTTTTCTTGACGAAGGTACTAGAGTGATTTGCCACTTCCTTTTCCAGCTCATTTTACAGATGAGGAAACTGAGGCAAAAGGCCTTAAGTGAATTGCCCAGGATCATATATCTTAGTGTCTGAGGCCAGATTTGAAATAAGGAAGTTGTGTCTTCTTGACTCCAGGCCTAGCAATCTATCTGTTGCATCATCTAGCTGCCCCTAATAAGAACTCATAATAAATAAAAGTATAGTAAAGAAAAATGTATCAATACACTGGCAATATGTGAAAATTTTTGTCTTGGTCTGCACCTCTATTCTGTAACTTCTCTGGCAAGAGATAAGAATTAAGATTCAGCACCAGTCTTCTGAAGTCAGACCTTTCTTTCAAAGTTGCTTTTGGTTTTGATATAATCATTTTGTGAATTTTTTCTTTGTTCTGCTCACTTCACTCACCTTCAGTTCATAAAAGTCTCTGTTTCTCTGAACCTATTCTTTGTGTTGTTTTTTATGGTGCAATAATATTCTATTATATTTATCTGTGATAATTTCCTTAGCCATTCCTCAATTGATGCACACCCTGTGTAAGTTTCCAGTTCTTTGCTATAACAAAAAGCACTGCTAGAAATTTTTTTCTGCTTATGTCTTTTTTTTACTTTTACTTTTTTCACTTTTTCTACTTTATGTCTTTTTTTGATCTCCCTAAGGACATAAACAAAGTAGTGATATAGCTGGGCCAAAGGGTATGAAAAATCTACTTACTTTTTTGCTATAGGCCCAAATTGCTTTCCAGAATGGTTGGACCAATTCTCAGCATTACCAAGAGTTTATTAAAATACTTGTCTTTCTAGGACCTCTCCAAATTTTCTGAATAAGTACATTAAATAAGCTAATATTGCCACTTTTTATTATATTGACATGGCCCAAACACAAGGAATTAATACCCATTTAGTTAATAATATATTTTTATAAAGGGTATTATTGTATTTGTGTGCATATAATTTCTCTGTCTTGATAACTGGACTTCTAAATATTGTACATTTCTCAAGTTATTTTTAATGGAATAGCTTTTTACCTCTTCCTCCTTTATTTTGTTGGTGACATATGGAGACTTGGAAAATTTGTGTGGCTTTATTTTATATTTTTCTACTTTGCTGAAGTTGTTTTAATTAAATTTTAGTTGAATCACTAGGGTCCTCTAAATAAATTTTCATATCATCTGTAAAAAATTAATTATTTTGTTTCCCTTCTGCCTTTATTTTTATTACAATATGTGGAACTACATCAAAAAATAGAGAGGACAATGGATATCCTTGCTTTACCCCAATCTTACTGGCAAAGAGCATTCGTTTCTCATCTTAGGACAGCCTGATTTGTTGCCAAATAGAATACATACTTTTAAACAGAAAAGTTTCCCTAGTGAGGTTCCCTGTATGATATGATGCTCAGACATATTGAAATGGTTCTGTTTGGGAGTTCCTTGCAAAGATGCAGATGGCAGAGTGCTAAACTTGTAGTCTGAGATTTGGGTTTAAATTATGTCTCATATGGTCAATAGCTGTTTGACCTTAGGCAAATTACTTAACCTTCTCTGGGTCTCAGTTTCATTACCTATAAAATGCAGAGGTTAGATCCGATGATCTTTAAGATCTCTTCTAGCTCTAAATATATTAGCAACCCATCCATGCCCAAATATCTCATGTGATTTTTGTCCATGTCCTCCCAGAATTTTGCCATATGATTACCAACCAATTTGCTGGGAGCTTTCTTTCCCCTATGTTGACATTGTGAGGGTACCAGTGGAGCATTCTGTTTATTCACTTGTTAACCCCTTAACCCTTGCCCTGTGATAACCATATTTAACTCTTGTTCTTCGAAGTTCCTCACTGGTTATATGTTGTAGCTTGGTGCACGGCACCTCTCTGTTTCCCTGTGTGTGATATTCATTTTTAATTGTTTGGAGAATGCTGTATTCCATGTCTTGCTTAAAGTAACACTAGCAGAATGTTGGTATTAAAAAATGGGCCTTTGCTTTCACCGGAAACTTGGTATAATTAATCAAGTTTTACATTTCCCAAAGGCAACCTAATCTACTCTCTTCCTCCGAGAAGAACTGGTCCATCTTCATTCTTTCTCCCACATACACATAATTCAGGGACTAACTGTTTAAATTTGTGACATAAAGGCATGTCATGATTTATGTAATGGACATTCTTCATCTACTTGGCATTCCCTGTGTGAAAGTTTGCACAAACTCTTGAGAGGTTATACCAAGTTCTTCCAGGAGGCTCTGCAATATTCCAGTTTTTGATAGCAAAATGTCATCCCCAAAGAGGACAGCCAGAGGACTTAACCGTCCACCCAGAAACCCTCTTCACCTTGGACTCTCAATGGCATCTATTTTATCACAATGGTGAATACCTTTTGTCACCATACATATCCCTGTTTTAGCTAGGTGGTGCAGTGGATAGAGCATATGGGTCCTAGAGTCAGGAAGACCTGAGTTCAAATCTGGCCTCAGATACTTACTAGCTGTGTAACACTGGGCAAATCACTTAAGCCTGTTTGCCTCAATTCCTTCTATGTAAAATGAGCTCAAGAAGGAAATGGCAATCCACTCCAGTATCTTTACCAAGAAAACCCCAAATGAGGTCAAGGAGAGTTGGACATGAATAAAATGGCTCAATACGAAAAATGCCTCTCCTTATGTTTATGATCAGAGGTTCATTGAACAAGGTTATTTCTGTTGTTATACCTTTCAAGAAACCTAGACTGATTTTTACAGATGGATCAGAGATCTTTGTTGGAAAAGAGACTCTAAGGTATTCTTTTGCTGTACTGAATCAATTACTTTTTCATAATTGGTAAAAAATTAGTAAAATGGGATCTTACATTCTCTGTACTTTTCTGTCGGCTACAAAATGACAAAGATGTTGTCTACTGTTGAATATCTTTTGCAAACACCTGCTTGTTCCCTAATAATACCCTCATCAAAGCTGCTCTTGAATTATATATAGATGATTCATACAACAATTTTGTATTAGTGGAAGATTAATTAATTAATCAAATCAATATTATTCAATTTATTAAAAAGGTACATTTTTTCATATCTTCCCTCTCTTTCAGGCACCTTCATATACTTCATGTTCCAAAAGCCTTTGTTATCATTTAAAATGATTAAAGCTTAAAATTGCACTAAGACTTTTGGGGCAGCTTCTTTATCCATCAGCACTCTCACAATTGTGTCTCCTTCAGAATAACTTTCTACACACACTTTGTCCAATAAGGCAGCTTTTCTCACCTTTGTTCTTTTTAAGGTCATTTCTATCCTTCCTATAATCTTATTCTGGATTGTGATGTTTGGTTACAGGTATTATCTCTCTACTGCTCTTCATAGTTTGCTATAGTAATCATTAGAGATCTTTTCATTTTTTAATTTATTGCTCTATATTTACACTTAAATGTACTAGAAATTACCATCCTTGGGGGGATTCCTTAAAAAGTTTTCTTTAAATTGGTATAACTTTCCACAGTTTCTCTATGCTTTATGACACAATATTGCTTTGTAACTATGTCCATCCTTCTTCTCCATGAGATTTTACAAACAAGTTTGCTAACTATAAAGTTGCAATATTTCTCCCCTTGGCATGTAAGTCAAACATTTACTGACTAAGGTGCTTACTGGGCTCATTTGGGTTTTCTCTTGTGGCAACAGATTTAAGGTGGTTAAAGTTCTGCCTTTTAATGGTCATCCCTGTCATTTTTGATGCCTGTTTTCCATTTTCATTGTTAATTCCTTGTTTAAATAATTCAAGATTGAATTGTTTCACCTGTATGCCATATGTCTTTATGACTATTATGTTCATTATTTTTATATTTATATATTCCTTATATATCATATCAGGCATCATATCCAGAATATTGTAACAAGAAGATAATGTATTCTTTTTATATTCTGATCTTTTTCTTGACAAGACAATGGTCTAATTGTTCCCAGCTGATCCACAGATTACTCAACATCAATAATAAATATTTTCTAACCTGTTAAGAAATAATCTATTTCATTTTTTTTGCAATGCTTTTTGGTGCTTACCAAACCTAGCACCTACCAATTCTTTTCTTGAAGCAATTTTGAAGAAATTGCTCTTGATACAAATGCATAGGGGGCAGCTAGATGGCGCAGTGGATAGATCACAGGTCCTGGATTCAGGAGGACCTGAGTTCAAATCTGGCCTCAGACACATAACATTTACTAGCTGTGTGACTGAGGGCAAATCATTTAACCCCATTGCCTAGCCAAAAAAAAAAAAAAAAAAAAACCAAATGCATAAAGCTTCTGCATAGTTTACAAATCTCTGGCATCTCTCTTTCCCTTATCCTGAATACTTATCCCTTGTTCTACAATATGAGATGATCAAATACTCCATAAAATCATGTTTCTTGTTGCCTTTGGATGTATGATAAGATCAACTCCACCAGCTTCTTTGTTTGCCTCTTCAAGCCATTTAGCTGTGTGACTATAGCTTTCATTAAATTGCAAAGTGATTTACAAATATTAATTCATTTTATCCTCAAAATAACCTGGGGATACAGGTACTATTATTATTATTTCCATTTCACAGATGAAGAAACTGGGGCAATCAGAGATTAAGTGACTTTCTCAAGGTCACACAGCTAATCAATGTCTGAACCTGCATTTGATCTGGTCTTTTGATTCTACACACAGCACCAGAGTACTACCAGGCTGTCTCAAGTGCCTTTGGTACTGTATTACTTTTCATTTCATTTACTCACAAATGCTCATTTTTAAAACACTTTCTCTATGCAAGGTGAAAGGAAAGCAAAGCTTCTTCAGGTCCTACTCATGGAGAGTAACAACAAAGTTGAGATTTAAACTTCAATCCTTGATTCCCAAGCTAGTCCTCCTTTCCATGACATCACACTTCCTCTCTGAAGGGATCTGAGGAGTCCTTTTAACACTAGCCCATGTAAAAGTTTAGCGAAACTATCAAATATCGTGAATTCCCAAATCTAAAGGAAACAGTTTACTGATTATTTCTAGATTGGCTAGAGCAGCAGAGATTACGCTGGTCTTCCCAGAGTATAATATAGAATAGGAAAATACCTCTTACATTTCTGTAGGTACCATTGAAACTTTGGTATTTTTTAAGTTTTTTTTTTTTAAGTTTGTGGAGTTTCACCCCATGGCAAATATCTCTATATCACTCTGCCCTGAGACACATAAACTGAGCAACTTTGCCTCCTGCTTCTTGTCATACTCCTCCAGCTCTCCTGGTCCAGAATCCCCAGCCCCTATGCTAGCTCACTTGAATTGGGTGGGAATAAGATCACTTTCCATTTGTGGCAATATTAGATTACTTTTCTCTCACCCTTTAATGCTACTCTGTTCTACCTTCCCCCACCCTGTTCTTTTATTTTTATTCTTCTATTCATATCTTTTAATTTTATTTGTTTCCCTTTCTTTTTACTATTTATTAGGCTTCCTGTTTGCTAAAACGGTACTATCTTACACTGGTTAGCCTTTATGCTTGCACTGAAGTTGAAGAATTCTAGCCTAGGGAGTAGTCTGAGTCATCTTTCTTTATAAAGTATCAGACATTTCCACACAAGCAAACCCAGGTTCCCCTGATGGCCACAGTATAATCTGGAACACTCACTATCAATTGGCAGGTGTTTCAGGAGATCCTGATATTCATCTTCTGTGAGTATGATCCCCATGTCCTTCAGAAAGTTTTCCAAGTTTTGAACATCAATGTTTTCTGTTTATAAAAGATGACAATGGTGAAAGATAGGAATGTGAGGAATATGTAATGACTCCAGAGGGTGAAAAAATAGTATCTATTCCTGTGTCCCATCATCTCCAGATTTAACAAGAAGAGGAGAGTTAGCCTTTGACATGAGCCTACATATAAATGGAAAGACACCTAGGAATTCAGAAATAGAAATTGTTTCCTTTTGGTCCAGTCTATGCTAGATTGAAGAGGCCTAAATTGAGGCATGTGGGATGGTCATTAGACAATAGTCTAGTGAACAATGGCAAAATCAATGACGCATTAAGACAAGTGGTCTAGCTAATAAGTAGGGTTTTGTTATCTTTGCCTTTATCCCATTTGGTTTGACTCATGTGAATGCAATCCCACTAGTTTGGAGACCCAGGATGATATCTGTCTCAATCTATGGAAAAGTGGAGCCAGAACATACATGTTATACTACAGGAAATTCATGACTGGCCACAAAGGGACTAGAGAGAACTTAGCAAGTGGATTTAAATAGAGTGATGATCATTTAACACATTCATCCGCAATAGGTAGTGTCACAGTTGTTATCCCAGACTCTGGACTCTCCCCCCACCACCCCCCTCCCATATCCAGTCAGTGCCTGAATCTTGCCATTTCTCCCTCTACAAAACATCTCAAATCTACCTCTTTTTTCTCTAGTCAAACAACCACATCTTTAGCTCACGTCATTGTCTATTTCCCCCTTGAAGGGATATTATAATGGCCTCTTAATTGGTCTCAATTGTCCTCCATTGCTTCAATAATCTCTTTCCCTTCTGATCTTCCACACACTTGCCAAAGTAGTTCTCTTTAAGCACAGATCTACTGAACATGTCACTCAATAATCTCCCCCGGTTCCCTATTTCTCCTGGATCAAATACATAAACTCCTGTTTCTATGGATTTTACAAACTGGCCCCAGCCTACCTTTCTGCTCTCATTATATATCACTTTCCCTTGCCTACTTTCTGTTCCTGACATATGGCCTTCCATTTCCTGACTCCATATTATTTTAGTAGCTGTCCCCTATGCTCTCCTTATTTCTATCTCAGAGTCCTTCTCTTCTTTCAAGTTGAACCACAATTTCTGTCTTCTATTAGGAGACTTTCCTGATTCCTCCACTGCTAGGGCTCTCCTTCCCAAATTATGTTGTATTTATTCTGCATATATTTACGTGTGTACATGTTGTCTTGCCCAAGAAAAGGCAAACTGTCAGCTGAGACTATTTCATCGTTTCTGCCTTTGTATCTCTAGTGCTTAGCACAGATCTAATGGGCACCTAATAAATGCTTGCAATTTGATTATTTCTGTCTATGCAGATCAACAAATTATTATATATACTGTTTAGGAAGCTGCCTGAGAGGGGAAATAACTTGCCCCACAGTCACATAGCTAGTAAATGTCAGAGGCAGGATTTGAATAGATGACTTCTTGACTGTAAAGCTCTATCCTCTATGCCATGCTTTGTCTCATGAATTTCTGTAAAAAATATGAAGATGTCAGTTTTTACCTGCCTTCTCCTCATAACTTCTTACTTACTTTTCATAGATTTCACATTATCCATAATTTTATTCAGGGCAATTTTCCCATTAGCTGTAAGAAAAGGCATAGGTTAGAGTATTACACAAAAAGAGTATTACATTCTGAAATTATTAGAGAACCCAGAGGAATTTAACATTTTTCTCTGAATTCAGGCAATTAACTTGGAATTTCATCTTATTTTCTCTAAAGATTAATTTATAATAAGCTTCTGAGGAATGAAGAAAGCTGTCATTCTGTAAATTGATGATAATAATAGTAATAATAATAGCATTTACATACGGCTTTAAGTTTTGTACAGTGCTTTACAAATAATTGACTCATTTTATCCTCACAAGAATCCTGTGAGGCAGGTGCTATTATTGTCTCAATTTTATAGATGAGGAAACTGAGGCTCAGAAAGGTTAAATGACTTGCCTAGGTTACATAGCTAGTAGATGTCTAAGGCTTTGAACTTAGGTCCTCATGACTCTGGGTCCAGTCTTATATCCACTGTACCACTTAACTACCTCACACAATCATTCAGGGAGCTGCCCTTCTCTTTGCTATTGACCATCAGAAAAACTTGTAATCAGACATTATATTTTGGCATATCAAATTCAGGACATTTTAGGAGTAAGATTGAAAGAACTGGGCCCTTCCTATCTCTCGGCCTCAACTTCCTCCTCTGGAAAATGAAGAGTCTAGACTAGGTGATCTCCCTATCCCTTCCCAGCATGGTTACGATATGATTCTGTGTACTAGGAAACTCCCTTTTTTTTGATAGCACAAGGAAAAGAAGAGCTAGTTTTTTCTTTCAATTCTTTTTTGGCCACAATCTTGTTTGTCGTTAATATTTTATGTATCTGCAAATTTGATTTGCTTGTCTAATTGGTTAAGTGTAAGACATACTGTCTATGAGAAAACAAATATGTAACTTTATTATAAAAATATTATTTTTAAATAGCATTTAAGTTATTCAGGTGGAAAAAGGTCTGACCCCTTTAGGAGACAAATTCCAGTTAGTAGGATAACCTTGTTAAATGCCCAGATGTTGAAGAATTTAACTAAAGAACAAGCTTACTCTATTTAAGTCAAACGTGTGATAAATGACATTTATTTGTCCTTTTAAAACGTAAAAATTACTTTACATAAATAATCTCTTAAGCCTCATGACAGTCCTGTGAGTTCAATGCTACAGGAATCATTATTGGGTATGTATCCTCCAAGTATCATCCTCAACTCTTCCCCTTCCCATACTTCTCACATCCAATCAATTGCCAAGACTTGTTGATTCTGCTTCTACAATCTATCTACTTGCATATCTCCACCCACACTCACATTTGCAGATGTCAATTTAATTTAGATAGAGTATTTGCTTTTGTTTTTTGGCCACAAGTGACTCTCAATGGCAGCCTGAGAAATGACAAGAGAGGTTGCAAAATATGTTGGTGGAGGGAATATGCATATTGACAAGGTCGTGGATTTTTGAAATATTGAAGATTCACACCCCTTGACAACTAGCAAGAAGGGCTTTTTCCCCCTGAGATCATGAATCTAGGCCCAGTTAGAGGCTCTATTTAATCTTTTCAAGTGCACACCATTTTTGAAGTAGCTTAGAACATCACATATGTTTCATTACCATGGTGAAGTAGATTTTTAAAGGCTATGCTAGCAAGTCATCATTGGTCTCCTAAACAAGACCAATAAAGCTAAGTAGATAAGGGATCATCTTTAGAAGATTGACCACTACATGATTTCTTTTTGACCAAAGAAAGATGAAAGGATATATTTAAGTGTACATAGGTTATAATCTACTTGGGCTAATAATGCCAATGAAAATACAGATATTTTCAAGTAATAATAGTAGCTGGCATTTACATAGCACTTTAAAGTTTACAGTACAATATATATGTATATGTAGATATACCTAACTACACACACATATATGTATGTTTTCTCATTTGATCCTCACAACAACCTTATATAGTAGACCCTATTACTATCCCCATTTTGCAGAAAAGGTAAGAGTCTAAATAAGCATAAGTTTCTAAGGCAGTATTTGAATTTGTATCTTCTTATCCAAACATGGCCAAACATGTCATCTGGCTGGTTAGGATTCCCTGGTGACAGTCACAATGGGCTTTTCTCCTTAAAGAGTGCCACTAGGCAGCTCAGTTGGGTCCTATGGTGAAGAGTAAGGAGTCTTCCATTCTTGTGCTCTACTTTGTGGTAGTCTGGGAAATCCTTGACTTGAAGGTTCAGTAAGAGATAATATTTCATCACACACTGTGATATAGGTATTGATATCTTTTTGTGTGATCTAAATAAGGATCCTTTCAGAAATTCTCAGATAGGAAGTAAAAGCTTCCCTAAAAGTACACAGGGACATAAGAAACACTCACCATCAGCTGGAAAACTACTCAACAGCTCCTCAATTTCTCTATCTGTGAACTTGATCCCCAGGTTGCCCAGAACCTCATCCAGGTTGTTAATATCAACATTCCCTCCTTAAGAAAGAAGAAAAATGTAGAATATAATCAATCAATCAATCAATCATTTTTAAGTGCTTAGTATGTGTTAAATGCTGCATTAAGCCAAGTGAAGTCAACAAGCATTAAGTGCTTACTATGTGCCAGGCACTGTGCTAAGTGCTGGGAATAAAAAGAAAATCAAAAGCACTGTCCTTGCCCTGAAGAAATCCGTGGTCTAATGAGGGAGACAAATAAGAAAGATATGGAATTGTATCATAGATGGACAAATTATATAAAGACTACATACAAGGAATTTCAGAACTGGATTCATCTGTTCAAGTTTGAGGGTGAGATAACATAAATAACAATTCACATGTATAAAGTACTTCCCAAATACTTTCTAAACTCATTTTGAAAGGTACAATAACAATCTTTAAGGACATACATGGATAGTCATTGGGAAAGCTTGGAAGATGAGCTGTTCCTGAGATTGTGGTCCAAGAGACCCTGACAAACTTTTCAAGAGAAGCCTCCTTTGGACACAGTAAGGAATAAACTGGTCAAAGCTGATGGATTCTGGCAAAGCAGACAGCTGATCTACATACTTTTAGCCAAGGAGTTTGAATTTGTCTGCAATGATAGAATCTGGTGAATTGCCTCCTCCAGGGGAGCTGTACATAAAGAACTGGAGGTCACGAGGCAGAAATGCTGAATCAGTAAGTTGGAAGGATAAGAGAATTCAAGTTATAATTAGTAAGAAGAAATAAAGTAGTTTCTCACTTACCGCTGAGATTCTGCACAGCATTCATTAAGTTTTTCAGATTCACCTTCCCATTATCTGTAAGAGAAGGTGCAATTCAGGTCACAGAGGAAGTAACACAGGATTACAATAATAGCATGAAGTTCATCATTTTGTAAACCCAGTCTATAGAGACTGTTCTATTCCTTCCTTGATCCACCAAATAATGATGAAGTGAAGAAACAGAGAAAGCTCTCAAGGGGATGAAGCCATCCCTTTCATTAACGTATATTCTTCTGACTCTGTGGTAACACAATCCATTATAGTGAGTGGAGGATTTATTGCAGAAAAATGCTTTGCTTCTAACAGGTAGTATTTTCACAAGCTCTTGGCTCTAGTACCTTTTAGTTTTATTTATTTTTTAAAAATATTTTTCAAATTTATTATTTATTTTTAATGCAAGTACCTTTTTAAAGGAAATAATAGTACTGCTTTGGAAACAGGCTTTTTTGGCATATGAAACAATAAATCTCTATTACATATAACTCATTTAAAAAAGTACATGATAAATTTATCCGAGTAATTCCAACACCGCGCTCTCTGTGATTTTTTTCTGCACTCTTGTTCTCTTCTGTATATTTCATAATCTTTTATTGATGCTTTTTTCATTCTTTTTATTTTGCATTGCTATTACCAATTCTTTCTCCTCCTCATAACTGCCATCCCTCTACCCTCAGTAAGAGCCCTTGCTTATAGCAAATAAAAGTATAGCCACAAAAAGCACATTTACACAATGGCTACGTGGGAAAATCTACGTCTCCACTTCTAGTTTATAAATCCTCTGGTAAGAGATGAGAATTATGATTCATCACCAATCTTCTGAAGTCAGAGCTGTCAATCTTAACTCTTTCAAAGTTGCTTTCATTTATGATATAATTGTGTAATAATTTTTTTCTTGGTTCTGCTCACTTCACTCACCTTTAGCTCATAGAAGTCAGCCCATGTTTCTCTGAAGCTATTCTATTTGTTATTTCTTATGGTACAATAATATTCTATTAAATTTATATATGATCATTTCCTTAGCCATTCCCCAACTGATGTTGTTCATTTGTTTCAGTCACATATGACTCTTTGTGACCCTATGTGGGGTTTTCTTGGCAGAGGTACTAGAGTGATATGCCATTTCCTTCCCCAGCTCATTTTACAGGTGAGGAAACTGAGGCAAAAAGGGTTAAGAGCCTTGCCCAGGGTTACACAGCTAGTGTCTAAGACCACATTTGAACTGCATGCAGTCCTGGTGTTCTATCCACTGTATCACCTAGCTGCTCCCCCAAAATTGTTTTTGTCTGTTAGTTGTGTCTGACTCTTCATGACCCCAATTGGGGTTTTCTTGGCAAAGATACTAGAATGGTTTGCCATTTCCTTCTCCAACTCATATTGCAGATGAGAAAACTGAGGCAAACTAGATTAAGTGACTTGCTCAGGGTCACACAGCTAGTAAGTGTCTGAAGTCTGATTTGAACTCAGGTCCTCTTGACTCCAGGGCCAGCACTTTATATTGTGCCACCTGGCTGTCTTCCCCAACTGATACATACCCTGTAAGTTTCCATTTCTTTGCTATAACAAAAAGTCCTGCTATAAATTTTTTATTTTGTACCTATGGGTCCTCTCTTTCTTTCTTTTATCTCTTTAAGGAAGTTAACCAAATAGCTACATAAATGGGAGAAAGGGTATGAAAAGTCTACTTTTTTTTTACTATAGCCCCAAATTGCTTTCCAGAATGGTGTGACCAATTCACAGCTTCACCCACATTGCATTGATATAATTGTTTTCACAGGGCCTCTGCAAATTTTCTGAATAAGTACATTCATTTAGCTAATATTGTCATTTTTTATAATATTGACATGGCCCAAACGTGAGCAATTAATATCTTGCTATTTGTTTAAATCTATCTTTATTTCTATAAAGTGTGTTTTTGTAGTTATCTGCATATAATTGTCTATCATGGTAGCTGGACTCCCACATATTTTATAATTCTTTAGTTATTTTTAATGGAATAACTATTTCTATCTCTTCCTGCTCTATTTTGTTAGTAATATATAGAAAGTTTGAAATTTTGTATGGTTTTATATTTTTCTACTTTGCTTAAGTTGTTTCAATTAATCTTTACTTGAATCTCTAGGGTACTCTAAATATATTGTCATATCATCTCTAAAAATTGATAATTTTGTTTCCCTTCTGCCTGTACTTCTTTTTTCCAACTTCTTTTTTTTTTATTATAATAGGTAGAACTACATCAAATAATAAAGGTACCCTTGCTTTACTCTAATCTTATTGGGAAAGGTCATTCATTTCTCATCCTGGAATAGCCCCATTTGTGGCCAAATAGAACACACCTTTTAAATAGAAAAGCTTCATGAGTTTCCCTGCATGAAAAGATACTGAAACATATTCAAATGGATCTGTTTCGGAGTTCATTTCTCTGCAAAGATGCAGATAGCAGAGTGCCAAACTTAAGAGTCTGAGATTTGGGTTTAAATTATGCCTCCTATAATTACTGACTGTGTGATCCTAGGCAAATCACTTAATCTTTCTTTTTTTAAAAATCAATTTATTTTGAATTATCAACAATCACTTCCATAAGCTTTTGAGTTTTAAATTTTCTCCCCCTCCCTCCTCATCTCCCTCCCCAAGATGGCACGCAATCTGATATAGGCTATACATATACATTCCTATTAAATGTATTTTCACATTAGTGATATTGTAAGTAAGAATTAGAACCAATAGGAGGAACCACCAGAAAGAGGAAACAAAACACAACAGAAGAAAAAAAATAGCAAATAGTATGATTCAATCTGCATTCAAATTCCATAGTTCTTTCTTCTTTGTGGATAGCATTTTCCATCATGAGGCATTTGGAAATGTCTTAGATCCTTGCATTGCTGAGAAGGGTTATCACTTAACCTTTCTTCATGGCAAAGATAGTGCTTTTGATTTTCTTTTTATTCCCAGCATTTGGCACAGTGCCCGGCACATAGTAAGCACTTAATGCTTGTTGACTTGACTTGGCTTGATGCAGCATTATTTAACACATACTAAGTACTTAAAAATGACTGATTGATTATATTCTACATTTCTCTTCTTTGTTAAGGAGGGAATGTTGATATTAACAACCTGGATGAGGTTCTGGGCAACCTGGGGATCAAGTTCACAGATAGAGAAATTGAGGAGCTATTGAGTAGTCTTCCAGTTGATGGTGAGCATTTCTTATGTCCCTGTGTACTTTTAGGGTCTCAGTTTCATTAATTATTCAATGCAGAGGTTGAATCCGACAACCTTTAAGGTCCCTTCCAGCTCTAAATATATTAACAACACATCTTGTGTGACTTTTGTCCATGTCCTCCCAGAAGTTTGCCATAGGGCTACCACCCAACTTGCTGAGAACTTTCTTTGCCTTATACTGACATTGTGAAGATACCAGTGGAACATTCTGTTTATCCACTTCTTAGCCCCTCACTATTGCCCTGTGATAATCATATTTTACTCCTGTTCTTCAAAGTTGCTCATTGATTATTTATTGCAGCTTGGTAACACCCACCACGCACCTCTCTATTCTCCTGTATGTGATATTCATTTTTAACTCTTTGGAGAGTGTTGTATTTCATGTCTTGCTAGAAGTAACAGTAGCAGAATGTTGGTATTAAAAAATGGGCCTTTGCTTCCACAGGAAACTTGGTATAATTAATGGAGCCTTACATTTCCCAAAGAAAACCTAACCTACTCTTCTCTTCTTCAACTCTGGGAAGAAATGGTCCATTTTTATTCTTCCTCCCAGATAGATATACTTAGGGAAAAGTTCTATAAGTTTATGACATAAAGGCATGTCATTATTTGTGTAATGGACATTATTAATTTACTTGGCCTCCCCTGTGTGGATGGTTTGCACAAACTCTTGAATGGTTACAAAGCTCTTTCAGAAGGCTCTGCAATATTTCAGTTTTTGATGCAATCAGCAAAATACCATCCCCAAAGAGAATCATCTGGAGGACTTAACTATACACCAAGACACCCTTCTTTACCTTAGGCTCTCCATGGGATCTCCTTCATCACAGTAATGAATACCTTTTGTCACCATACACATCCCTATTTTATGCCTCTTCTGATATTTAAGATCAGAGGTTCATTGAATGTGGTTATTTTTGTTGCTATAATTTTTAAGGAATCTAAATTGATTTTTACTATAGATAGGTGATAACCTTGTTGGAAAAGAGACTAAGGTGTTCTTTTGCTCTTCTGAATCAAATACTTTTCTATAATTTGCAAACAATAAGCAAAATGGGATCTTATATTTTCTATATCTTTCAGTCAATTACAGTATGGCAGAGATGTGATCCATTGTTGAATATCTCTTGCAAACACTTCTTGTTCTGTACTAATACTTTCATCAAGGAAGTTCTTGAATTGTGCATAGATGACTCATATAAAGATTTTTTTAACTGGTGGTAATGTAGGCATATAGGTCAGTGACTGTTAATGTTTTCTTGGTCATCTATTTGTTAATATTAAATTTATTAATAAGGTCTAAGTTTTTTTTTTGTATCTTCCTTCTCTTTCAGACACCTTCATATACTAGGTGTCCCAAAAGTCTAAGTACAGATTAAAGATATTCAAGCTGAAAATTGCATGAAGACTTTTGGGATAGTCTCTTTATCCCTCAGTACTCTCACAACTGTGTATCCTGTAGATCAAATACTCTATATATACTCTATATACACTTGGTCAAACTGGGCAGCTTTTCTCATCTTTGTTCTGTTTAATGCCATTCCTCCTATAAGCTTATCCTGGATTGTGATGCATGGGTACAAGTGTCCTCTTTTTACTGCTCTTGATGGTTTGCTGTAGTAATCATTGTAGACCTTTTCCATTTTCTTCTATTTATTGTTCTATATTTATCCTTAAATGCACTGCAGGTTACCATGCTTAGTGGATTCCTTATGCAGTTTTTAAAAAAAAATTGGTTTAACCTTCCACAGCTTCTTTATGCCTTATGAGACAATATTGCTTATAACAATGTCCAGCATCCTTCTCCATTAAATTTAAAATCAAGTTTACTAACTAGAAGTAGTGTTGTCATATTTCTTCACTTGGCATGTAAGTCAAACATTTACTGACTAAGGTGTTTACTGGGCTCATTTGGTTTTCCTCTTGTGGCAATAGATTTAGAGTGGTTAAGTTCTGCCTTTTAATGGCCATCCACATCTTTTTTGATGTCTATTTTCCATTTTCATTGTTAGTTACTTGTTTAAATAATTAAGATTGAGTTGTATAAATGTATGCCATATCTCTTTCTTACTATTACATTCTTGATTTTTATATTATTTTATGTATTCTTGCTATATTCTGATCTTTTTCTTGAAAAGGTAGTGGTCTTATTGTTCACAGCTGATCCAGTGATTACTCCTACATCAATAATAAGTCATCTTACCTTTTAGATATAATATATTTCTTTTCCTTCTCCTTTCCTTCCTTCCTTCCTTCCCTCCTTCCTTCCTTCCTTCCTTTCTTTTTTGCAATACTCCTTTGGTGTTCGCCAACCCTAGCATCTGCAAATTCTTTTCTTGAAGAAGCTGTTCCTGATATAAAGGCTTGAAGAACATAGTCTACAAATATTTAATGTCTCTCTTTCCCTTATCCTGAATACTTATCCTTAGTTCTACTATATGGGACCACCAAATATTCCATGACATCATGTTTCTTGTTGCCTTTGGATGTATGATAAAACCAACTCTTATCAACTTCTTTCTTTACCTCTTCAAGCTATTTAATTGTATGACTATAGCTTTCATTTGTTTGCACTTTCTTCTGGTTTCACCAATGTTTGATGATTCTGTACTTTTTCATCATTGGGCAAGGCTCTCAGAGTTAATTTGACTGTTGGTATTCTGAAGTTTACAGATAGTATGTCAGCTTTAGATTCATAGATTCATAACACCCTCTGTTCTCTCTTCTGACATTCTTCCACTGTCTTTGCAGACAGAAGTGGAAGAGGGATGCATGGGGCTGAAAATCACTTTTTATTTCCTTGCTTTATGAGTTTCTACTGCCTTATTTAAAAAAAACTCCACAAAATGGCCAGCTTACAAATGATCTATGCTTATTGGGGCTGGTCCTCAGAAAGAAGGCCATATTTGAAGCCTTTCCAACAGGGTCATTTTTTCTGCTACTAAAAGCACAGTCACAAGACTGTGTCGGGGCTCACAGGCACTGACTATCTACATAAATGTGGGGAAACACAGGAAGAGAAGAACATGGAAACCCAATGCTGACCTCCTACTTTTTGCTGAGTCCAGCAGAGCACTCAGAGCAGGGACAGTTATCTGCATTTCTTTTTTATCCTCACCACTTAGCATACTATCTATCACATACCAGGTGCTTGTTGACTTAACAGTAATTGATTGTGGTTAAAAAAAAAAGGTATCTAATGGTACCATTGGACCATCATGGCTGTGACAAGTGCTAGACATAAAGTGTCATCAAAGAAGATACTGCCTCCTTTTCATTAGGGAGTAGGGAGGCATCATAGTTACTAGCAAAGGAGATGCATATATTTGCTACAAAAAATTCTACTTTTGTGGAAGCAGAAAAGTGAAAACAGGAGGCAGTGTTGTACAGTAGGAAGAGTATACAGCAACTTATGGAGTCAGAGGACCTCGGTTCAAATTCTGCTTCTGATTCTCACCACTACCTTAGACAAACTGCCCAACTTCTCCCTGGGGCTCAATTTAGTCTTCTGTAAATAAGGCGATTAGATTGGAAGGCCTCTGAAGGCCCTTCTATCTCCAGATCTAGGATCCTATAACATACGAGTTTATGGAAAACTAAAAAAGGAGCATAACCACGATGATACTACAGGTACTTTGCTGAGTTCCATATGCTTTTATTTTCCTTTTTTTTTTTTTGGCAGTTAGGTAGCACAGTGGATAGAGCAGCACACCTGAAGTCAGGAAGACCTGATTTCAAATCCTGCCTTAGACACTTACAAGCTGTGTGACTCTGGGCAAGTCACTTAATCTCTGTCTGCCTCAGCTTCTTCCTCTATAATATGGTGATCATAATAGCACCTACTTCCAAAGGTTATGGTGAGGATCAAGTGAGATAACATATGCACAGCACTTCTTAAACTTGAGAGCACTATATAGATGCCAACTAGCCATTATTTTCCTTTCCTCTCTCTCTGCCCTGCCTCTTTTGATTTCTCTCTTCCTTTCTAATATGATTCTCCCACTCCTTTTAGTTTTGTTTCTTCTTTTATTCTTTATGTCACAGGCCAGTAAGTGGCCCAATGATGGTTATGGACGTAGCTTCATTATGATTCATGGCTGAGAAGGCTATAGATCCCAAAATTTAAAAACTATGTCACAAAGATGGATCATCTTGTATTATTTTCTTGCATTATTCTGTTTTCCCCCACCCCAGATTTTCTTACCTGAAAAGAAATAATTTTAAAAGTTCTCACATACTGGTCTATAAAGTCCCCATGCCTAGTCCTCTCTCATTCCCAAAAGGACACAGTGGTGTCTGAAATGCTTACCATCAACTGGCAAGTTTTTCTGCAGCTCCTCAAGCTTGCTCTTAGTGAACTCCAGGCCCATGCTCCTCAGGACATTTTCCACATCACTGATATCATGCTTTTCTGTTTAGAAAAGAAGTGACTGGTAAAAGATAGGACTTTAAAGATCTAACAGCTTTGAACTTTACATTTTCATTTCTGTGCTGTATAGTGGATAGAATGCTACACCTCTGGAATTTACTAGATCTGTGACTGTGATGCAGAGGGAAGAAGGCAGAACCAAGAGAATAATGCACAGTGACTACAATAATTTAAGCAATAATGCTAAAAAGAATTCAACTTTGATGAACAATTTCAGTTCTGGAGAACTGATAAGGAGATATACCTTCCTTTTCTCAGTAGAGAGGAGGTGACTAGAGGTCTAATGTGGCATATGCTGTTAAGACACAGTTAGTGTTGTTTGGCTTAACTGTTTTTCTTTCTTATAAGGAGCTGAGAAGTTAGGGGGTATAAAAATAAAAGCCAACAATGAGATTTTAAAAAAAATTAACTTAATATGAAGCATCAGGATTCTCCATTTTACCCGTCTTCTCACCATAAAGTCTCACCTTGTAAAGCTTTTGCTTCTTGTATCAGTGTACTCAGATCAATCTTCCCATAAGCTATAAGATAAGGCATGATTTGGACATGTAAGAATTAAATGGTAGAAAGAGTGGCATAAAGTTCTGAGATGATGAAACCAAAGATAACAATTCAATAATTTCCAACATGGACCCTAGACTTTCGCCCTATGCTTTTCCTAGATGGGCATGTAGACAACTTTTATTGCAGTTGGTGCATTCATTCCATTAATATAGCTTCTCATGTTCTTTCCTATAATATTTCAATCTCCACAGTAAAACAGAAACATGTTATGGAAACAAAACCAGCACTCACATCAGCACATCTTCTATAATATCAGAGTCAAAGTATTTATGGATAAAAAAGGGCCCAGAAACATTGCTCTGTTGTCACAGCAGAGAAAGAAGGTGTTACCATGTTCTTGTTCCTCAAAGTTCTGGAAACAAATGCATTGGCTTCATAATTCTCTCATTTGAAAAAAAATCTCAATCAATAAGCCTTTATTATATTGTCAGGTGCTGTAATAATTGCTAGAGATACAAAGAAAAGCAAAGACAGTTGCTGTTCTCAAGAATCTCACAGTCTAATGGGGGAGACAACATTTAAACAACTATGTACAAATAAAATATACAGATATATAGGATAAATGAGATAATCAATAGAGGGAAGGCAATACCATTAAGGGGGATAATAGGACTATGAGAGTACCTGGGAGAAAGATAAAAATGGAATTATAAGTGAAATAAGGGCTCTAGAAGAAAAAATAAGGAGAATAAACAACTTACACTAGAAGTTAGAAAACTACTCAAGTAAAGGGTAGAATAAAAACCAAAACGGAACACAACATTTAAGACAATAAAAAATTATATAAAGTGATTAAAAAAGAAGAAAAATTTAAACTATAAAAAGCAACTGACTTGGACAGTTTGAAGACATATACTGAAGATAAATAAAGAAATAGCTCTCTGCCCTTGACAAATTCAAGTCACCTGGCTACAACCTTGGATCTGGAGAGAAATGGCAGGTGAAATTGCTGAGCCATTCTCGGTGACATTTGAAAGATTGTGGCAAAAGACAAAAAGCAAATGTCCCAATTTTCAAAAGAGGGAAGAGAATAGAGTCTATAAAATTTAGTAGGCTAGTGAGCTTTGATCCCTTGGAAAATTCTAAAGTAGATTATGAAATACTGATTATAGAGATTACTAAGTGAGAGAATGGCTTCTCTTTTTTTTTTGTTAGGCAATTGGGGTTAAGTGACTTGCCCAGAGTCACACAGCTAGTGAGCATTATGTGTCTGAGGTCACATTTGAACTCTGGTCTTCCTAACTTCAGGGTCGGTGCTCTGTCCACTGCACCACCTAGCTGCCCCTAAGAATGGCTTCTCTAAGAACAGCTCTCGCCAGACTTGTATGAACAAAGTGAAGTAAGCAGAACCAGGAAAACAATTTCTACAACTACAACATAGTAAAGAAAAACATGTTTGGAAGACTTAAAGACTGATCAGTGCAATCTAATTGTAACTCCAGAGGGCTGAAGCCAAGCTAAATCTCATTTCCTTTTTTGACTGGACTACTTAACTAACAGATCAGGGGAATGCTATAGACAGTTAATTAAGATTTAGCAAAGCTTCTGTTTAAGTATCTCATGCTATTCTTGTGGAGAAGATGGAGAGATGTGGATTAGATAATGACATGGGATTCAGAATCATCAGGATGACCAGACTCAAAGAGGAGTAGAGTCATTAGTGATTGGGTGTTTTCTTTGTACACATTTATCTAGCTGCTCCTCTAGACTCCAGCAAAATGCCTTGCACAGAGTCTTGGGTGCGTAATACATGATTATTGAATTGAAAAAATTAAAAAGAGGCAGATGTTCCAGAGAATGTCCCTGATGGATTCTTCTAGGATTATAGGTCCAGAACCAGAAGGAATTTTAGAGGTCATCTAATTAGTTTCACTGATTAAAAGAGAATCCCAAGCACACATTTGTAGAAAGTAGCAGAGTTAGAGTCTTAGTGATAGTAGGTTTCCAGGTCAATATATGTCAACTTGTCTTCAGATATGCATTACTATGTGAAACTAAGCAATTCCATCATTCTGGATTTGTTTCCATATTCAACTGGATGAAATTCAGCAAACATTTATTAAATACCTACTTTTGCAAGGAACACTACTAGGTGCTAAGGATATGAGACAAAAACAAAGAAAAAGGTCCTATTTCCAAGGAATTTATATAGGGGGGAGGAGAATATATTCACATATTAAGTAAATATAAAAGATACAAAGTGAATATAAGGTAGTTGATAGGAGTGGAGGTGAGGGGAGAAAGAAAATGCTAACTAGGAGGATCAGGAAAGATCTCTTTCAATCAATCAATATATCACTAATTTGATTACTAAATACTAGGAATACAAAGACAAGGAGGTAGAACTTGACATGAGCTTTTGACAAAGCTAGGGATTCTAAGAAGCAAGTTGGGTCTGTTTTCCTTCATGCAGAATTTAGTCTTAGGGAAAATATACTCTCTTCAGCCCTTGAGGTTTTATATTTAGGTTTAAGGAGGCATAGTTTTAGTCTTAGGGCATATATACTCTCTTTCAGCCCTTGGAGTTTTATATTTAGGCTCAAGGAGGCATAGTTTAGGGACATGCCATACATATGAGACAGATTCACTAGTGTACTTGTTCCTAAGACAGCCACTGGCTCACTCAGTAAAGGGAGAGGACCTCACTTCTCTCACATTCTCCTTACATCTCACAGCTTGTTATCTGTCTCAGAGTGGTTGGTTGGACACATGGCCACTATGTACTTGAGTTAACCATTGGTGGGATTTATTCCTGCTCCCCACAATCAGTTCCTCCATTTTCTCTTCTACTTATTCTTTTTTGTCACTGTCTAATCTCTTATAGTTCATTTCCCCACTTTCCTGTCCATTTCCTGGCTAGTATTTCCAGCATTATTTATTATACACATTCTAAGACACCATCTTGGAGAAGGTTACAGATTTTAGGTTAATGAAAATGACCCAAGACAAGACTTATGAGTATTTTAGTATTTGAACTCTTGCTAAGCTTTTGGAACCATATCTGTGTCACATGAATGTGATTTTAGAATTATTCACACAGAATGACCTAAGTTAAAGCTCCCCTGACAGGCATTTAAAATTATTTAAAATTTATTTAAATGCTCACCATCCACTGGCAAATTTTTCTTCAGCTCTTTAAAGTCTTCATCTGTGATCTTGATCCCCATATTATTCAGAAAGTCATCCAAGTTATGGACATTGACCTTGCCTCCTTAGGAAAAGAGACAGGAATATGAGAATTATTCAATGATTCTAAAATGTGAAAAATTTAACTTTTCCTCAATGTTAATGTTTTTGCTTCCAGCATGAGGAACAAAGACCCATGGGACTCATAGGATTTAGAACTGGAGGAGACCTTAGAGTTAATCACACAGCCAACCCCATCATTTTACATATAAGCAAACTGAGCCCCAGAGAGGAGAGGTGACATTGTTAGTACCATTTCTATCTCCTTTGAAATAATTTTGTATTATGTTGGCTCTTCTTTGCATTTAACTACTTTTTGTATCTTCTATCCCCTCAGTGGAATGTAATCTTGAGGGCAGAGACTTTGGTTTTTGTCCTTGTATCTCTGGTGCCTAGCACAGTGCCTCACACACAGTAGGTACTTGACAAGTTTCTGTTGAATTCACAGTCACAAAAGGTGGTGAGTGGCAGAGCCACAATTTGAACACAGACCCTGTAACACCAAATCTTCTGACAGTGGTCCTGGTGCTATTACCAGCATTACCAAGTATATGGATACCATGGATGGAGGAAGATAAGAGACAAGATTTGTGTGAGGACAACTTTCTATTACATCCTGCTGTCTCTTTGTTCATATGAAAACAGGGAGTCCACAGCCCTGTCACGTGCTATCTTTGTAACCTTGTTATTTAGTCTCTCTGGGCCTCAGTTCTCTCATGTATAAAGTGAGGGAATTAGTAGGGTTGGATTAGAAGACCTCTACATTTCTGCCCAGCTCTGAATCTATGACCCTGTGATCCTATGATCTATGAGTGGGAAGACTCAGAAATGTAACTTGGGGACTGAACTCTGGCCCTGGACACTATCCTAGTGAATCAAAAGTCAAAGGAGGGAGGAGGGAATTGAGAAACTGTTCAGTGAATTATGGCAGTAAATTTTTCTCTTGATAAGTTGACTTTGTCTCTACTTCCTGAATTCTCATATTGTTTTTTTCCTGATTGAATTAAATACAGAATTATGAATCCATCATTTCACTTTGTGCTATGCAAACCCTTGATTTCAATATTTCCCCCAGCAAAGTCTGGAAAAACACAAGGGAATTAGAAATGCATCATGACATAGTGGTTAACAGCCTAGGATCTGGAGAGTGTGCCCAGGATGAAGTGACTGTTGTATCACATGTTGTATCAGGACAGGCTGAAGGAAGTGAGAATATTTAGCCTAGAGATGAGAAGACTTGGACTGAGGTCCTGGGTTGGGCAGTGGAGGATAATAGCTATGAAGTATTTAAAGGGTTGTCATATGCAAAAGGAATCAGCCTGGTTCAGTTTGGTTCAGAGAGGAACCAGGAGCAATGAGTGGAAGTTGCAAAGAGGCAAAAATTAAGGGACTGATTTCAGGACAATTTTTCTTACACTCAGAGCTATCTAAAAGTGTAATGGGCAACCCTGGGAGATGGCATTGTCTCCCTTACTGCAAGACTTCAGGAAAATGGCAGGTGACCACTTCCTGGGTATTTAGTAAGGAGGTGGGGATTCTTTTTTCTAGTATGGATTGGACTGGTTGACTTCTGAGGTCCCTTCCAACTCTCAAATTCTGTGATTCTCTGATTACTGACGCTATTGAACTTTCTAGGAAGACACAATGCACTGTGGATTATCTGGGAAAAAATGCAAATCTATCTTAAGAATCAAACAAATGCAAATTGTTCCAGGTTTGGTTTGTCTTCTCATCTTGCTTTGCACTCACCTTTAGAAGTCTGCAAGTTTTCCATAAGTTTATTAAGAAGGACGTTCCCTTTGGCTGTAAAAAGAAAAAGGCACAGAAGCAGTAAGATAGATGAAAGTTAAGATTCATGAAAACTACAAAGGTTCAAAGTTATGAAGATTATGTTAGAAAGTTACACTTTCCCTTAGACTTTTATTGTGTTTTCTCTACTGATAAAAAAAAGAAGCTGGGGAAATAAGAGGGAATCACCAGCCTTAGATGTACTCAGACATGTCTCATGGTCCCAGAGTCCTGCACTGGCAGCTTAATCACTGTGGCTCCATTTTTACTTCTGTGGTAATAGCTCATATGTATGACATCTGCCTCTCCCATCTACCTGCTCTGCTGTTTGTCAAGTCTTGTGTCTTGTGGGTGCTGCTTACTCTTCTTTTTCTTTCATGCTCACCTCTCAGCCTCTATGCAGTTGCCATTTGGGAGATCCATCACACAACCTTCCTGCATCTGCCCAGTGACCTATCTACCCATAGTCTCATGCTGCTCTTTGTACTTTAATTCCTCTTTCCCCCTTAAGAATGGGAGGTGCTATTGTATTAGCCATTCTCTTGTCTAGACTATTACCAGGTTGTGGCAGCTCCCCAAAGAATCGAGGAGGGGAAGATGCAGGAATTCTGTTCACCATTAGACAATGACTACAGCGTTCAATTACATAAGCATATATAAAATAAATATATGTTAATGTTAATTTTAGCAGTCAGGGAAGTCAGAAAAGCTTCATCATAGAAGGAGATGATTGAGGAGAGTTATGAAAGAGAAAAGGGACTTTAAAATGTGGAAGTAAAGAAGGAGTGCCTTCCAGATATGGGGACAGCCAATTCAAAGGTGCAGAGATTAGAGATGGAGGGTCAAAAATGAGGGTCAACAAAAAGGTCAACTTTGTTGTAGCTATTCATTTAAATAATTTAAAATTTGTTGCCACAAGATATCTAATTTCAGAGGCATTATGTTTATACTATATTATAGAGCTGGACCCATCACTCAGATCAGAAGTGTCCAGAGTTTCCAATAGCCATTTTGAAAGGGGAAAATGGAAGGGAGTAACTCAAAAATATTCTTTTTACACAGAGAAAAAAAGGACCAATTGCTTATTCCTTCCCATTAAGGAAAAAGCCTGGACACAGGCTTTTTGGTTGGGTCATAGGACATCTCTTAAAGTTGAAAATCTGCCTGGTGAATTCAATACTCACCCATACAATAATACTCAGCAATATAATACATATCTCATAAAATTGTGATTTACAGGATTTTTCCCATGGCTAGTCACTAACGTGCATGGCATTTGGGAGGGGACTAATAAAATTGTGTCCTCTGTTTCCCTCTAAACCCAAGTGAATTCAGGTGAAATAGTCAGCTTTGAAGGCTGGAACATGAGACAGGGTTAGACATAAGGGGCTCTGTTTTGATGACAGGTCTAACAGTCTCAGGTCTTCTTTTGTACCATAATAACAGCTAATAATGACTGACATTATATAGTATAGTAGGGCTTGCAAAGCACTTATGTTGGGGCAACTAGGTGGCACAGTGGCTAGAGCACTGGTCTTTTAATCAGGAAGACTCATCTTTATGAGTTCAAATCTGGCCTCAGACACTTTCCTAGCTGGGTGACCTTGGACAAGTCACTTAACCCTATTTGCCTCAATTCCTAATCTGTAAAATGAGCTGGAGAAGGAAATTAAATGACAAACCACTCCAGTACCTTTGCCAATAAATCCCCAAATGGTGCCATAAAGAATCAGATACGACTGAAATGACTGAACAACAGCAAAATTACTTACATTATCTTGTTTGATCCTCACAACAACTTTATGAAATAGGTGCCATTATTACCCCCATTTTACAGATGAGGAAACTGAATGACTTGCCTAGGGACTTAAGAGTTTAACTAGTGTCTGAGGCAGGGTTCGAGCCCAGCGTTACCCAACTCCAAGTCCAGCACTCTATCCATTGTGCGTTATACAAATTGACAGAGTTCTTAACTTGTGTCTTGGCCAACATATCATTCTCAGCATCTAGCACAGTGTTCTGCATGGGAATTCCACTTCTAACACTTTGTAGTTGTATGACCACGGATAGATAAGTTGCCTGACCTTTCTGAGCTTGTTTCCTGACTTAAACTTTTTGGGTCTGTTTCCTCATCTATAAAATAATGATAATTATAATTGTAGTGGGAGAGAAGAGGTAGTGAATAGATGGCCAGCCTTGGATACAGGAAAAACATAGGTTCAAGTCCTATCCACTGTGTGACCATAGGGAAGTCACCTCTTCGGTGCTCCAAGCACACATTCCATAAGATTATGTTGGAGACAAGTTGTTGGGTCTGCATTAATGGAGGGAGTTTCCACACTGGGAATCTACGTTAATGAAATCCTAGGTTCAGACCCAAGAAATATCTGTAGTACCTGTCTCATAGAGTTGTTGTGGGGCTCAAATGAGATAATGTATGTAAAGTGCTTTGAAAAATTTAATGTAATATGGAAATGTTTTACATAATTGCACTTGTATAACCTATATCTGATTGCTTACTGTCTTGGGGCGGGGCAGAGAAGAGGGATAGAATTTGGAACTCAAAACTTTAAAAACATGTCAAAATTATCTTGACATATAATTGAGGGAAAAATAAAACACATATTTTTAAAAAATTTAATGTGCTAGAGAAATGTTAGTTGTCATTATTACTATTATTTATGGATCAGAGTTTTGGGACTGGGACCATACATAGAAAACAAATGTGGAAACTCAATAACCTATTTGAGAAAACAAAGAAACAAACAAAAAAAACCCTTTTTAGTTCTTTCCAGCACCCGGGCAAAAGTACACAAAGTAGAATCTTTTCTGGCCTTTCCACATAAATCTGAAAAGTCAAGTTAAAAAAAATGGCAGGGCTCGACCTGGAGTCAGGAAGATCCAAAGTCAAATCTGCCTTCAGACACTAGCTGTGTGAACTTGACCAAGTCACTTGAACTCTGTCTGCCTCATTTTTCTCATCTGTAAAATGGGGATTTTAATAGCATCTACCTAGGATTGTTGGGAGGATAACATGAGATAATATTTGTGAAGAGTTTTGCAAACACCAAAGCACTATATAAATGCTACTATCTGTTATGATAAAAGCTTGTTGACCAACTGACTATAAATTGAGTGGGCTGGAATAAATGATCTCTAAGTCCCCTTTCAATTAAAACATACTGTTTCTTGAAGTAACAAATAGGTCCTTCTTCCTGGCCAATCTTATCTTATAAAGATAAACCTTTATGCCTATAAAGCATATACAGCACCTACCTGCCAGGGTTGTGGTGAGGATCAAATGAGATAATATTTGTAAAGCTCTTAGCATAGTACCTGGCACACAGGAGGTGCTTAATAAATGCTTGCTCCTTTCCTCCTTCCCTTTATCCATTTCAGACTTTGTCAGCAGTCACAAATGAAGGCAGAAACCCTAAACAGTTCCTATAGCATGTAAACTTCTTTAGAGCAGGAGCTTTTTGGTTTATCTTTCTTTGTAATTCCAATGGCTAGCATAATGCCTTGGGTATAGTAGGAACTTAATGAATGCTTATTCAATAGAATGGAATCAGCCATTACAAAAACCTTATATTTCTGGAGCCCTGGACCTGATTTTCCAGCTGATTGTTTTATTTTGCTTTAATTTTCTGGAGTTCAGCATGAAAGTTTAGGGCTACTTTGATTAGCATAGAAGAGTATGGCAAAAACAATTCTTTATAGTCATATATATATATGTCTATATATATATATATAGTCACATATATATAGTCATTCTAGGGTGTCTCCCCAGTGGATGATGAAGGCCAAAAAATTTCTCACTCTTTTTATCCTCTTATATTTGCCTTTATTCTCTCAGTGCCAACATCTTTCCTTCTTCTCCCCCTTGCTGAATGAATGAATGAATGAAAAAGTTTTTATTTAGCACTTACTATGACTATGTGGACAGCTAGGTGGCACAGTGGGATAGAGTGCTGGGCCTAGAGTTAGGAAGGTTCTTCTTCCTGAGTTCAAACACTTACTAGTTGTGTGACCTTGGGCAAGTCACTTAATCTTGTTTGCCTCAGTTTCCTCATCTGTAAAATAAGCTGGAGAAGGAAATGAAATGGCAAACCACTCTAGTACCTTTGTCAAGAAAACCCCAAATGGGGTCATGAAGAGTTGGACACAACTAAAAATGATTGAACAACAACAACATGATCATGGCAAGCAGTATGCAAAGAGCAATGCGTATGAATCCAAAAAGGAAACTTCTAATCATTTTAAACTGTCTCCTCAGTGGGTTATGAAGGCAAAATAAAAACAAAACCCAAAAAATCCCCAAAACCTCCTCACTCTTTTTCTCCTCATGGATTTGCCTTTACTTTCTCAATGCCAGGATCATTCTTTCTCTTGCCTCTTGATAAATGAATTAATAAATGAATGAAAAAGTTTTTATTTAGAATTTAGAATGACTATATGTCAGGCAGTATGCTAAGAGCAGAGGATAAAAAAATAAAAAATAAGACAGTCCCTGCCTTAAAAGATTTCACATTCTAAAAGGGGCAGAAAGGTGTCCAGGAAAGGGAATTTTGGTTTGGAGAGTTCCATGAATGGTGAGCTGATCCTTAGAGCCCTCAATTAAGGGCTCTTTTCTTAAGGAATAGTAGCATTGATTGGATTACTATGCCCAGAGGAAGAAGCAGAATGTGAGGGCAGGGATGGCAAGATGGTCAGGGTGGATGTCTGTGCATTTAATAATCAGTATAACAAGGAATAAGAGTAATACCATGCAAATTCAGAGTTGGAAGATAGAGGATAAAGTCAAGTTGGCTTTAGTGGTCTAGTCTGGAAAGAACACAGAGATTGTGAAGGAGAGTAGTATGAAATATATCTGGAGCTAGATTGTGAAAGGCCTTAAATGTTAAGGCTAAAGAAATATGCATTTTACAGGTGATAAGGAGCTACTGAAGGTTTGTAAGTGGGCGAATAACAATGACCAGTCTTGTACTTAGCGAGATTATTTATTGTTAAAATGGCAATAAGCAAGGTTTTAGAAGATACCAGCTCTCCTACCTCTTACCCTCCCCTTTGCCCCAAAGATATTTAAAAAGGGTCCTGTATACAGCAATGACAAAGAAAACTGAAGAGAAACAAACATAAGGTTTCTTCATCCACTCAAAAAAAATTGACCAGAAGCCACGTTGGAGTAAACGGGCCTGAAGTTACCAGGTACTCTAAAGAAAGATACTCAGTTGGGATTGTAAGGCAGCTCAAACTCTGGTAACTGAGGCCTGAAGTCAGATCCTGAAGTCAGAACCATGAGCAGGGACAAAGCGAATCTGGGTGTTGGAGCACTGGGGGGCCACAGCAAGAGACAGGACCAATTCAGCACCTGGGAGCCTGCACTAAGTTAGGTCTTCCAGGAGGCCTAAGACTAGTACAATATCCAACATTGGACTAGGGCTTGTCAGGGCTATAGGAGTGGGTGGAACCAACTTTCCAGTGGGGATTGTATAAGGACAAGGAAACAGAGCTAGGTTATAGTTGGAACCCATAATGGATCATCAGGAGACTGAAACAAAAGGCAGGGATTGAGGCAGAGGATATGGCCGAGTACCAGACACCCTTCTTAGAATGGTAGCAGCAGTAAGATACAGGCTATAGAGAAGACAGGAACAAATAGGGCTTACTCAACACATCTAAGAATGTCAGGGATGATGGATCCTGGCCCTGGCACAAAGTCCCAACACGTGAACTAAGGCTAAAATATGAGTAAACAGAAGAAGACACTAAACACCTCCAAGCTGCTTGTTTTACTTCTAATTTTAATAGTATTAAATTTGTGCAAAACCTATTCAATTTTATGTAAATAAATTTTTTCTTTATGATCCTTTCCATTCCTTATTAGGGCATTAATTCTTCCCCTATCTATATATCTGAAAGAAATTTTCTTTTTTGCTGTTTTTGTTTATGATGTGACTTTTTCTATCTAGGTCATGTATGTATTGGGGGCTTAATGTGGTACATGAGATTTTGGCTTAAACCTATTCTCTGCCAGAATGCTTTGCAGTTTTCCTATCAGTTTTTGTTGTTACCTGAGGTCTAGTGTTTATCAAACACTTTTGCTATATGTATTTCTACATGTTGTGATATTTCTTATGTATTCCATTAATCAACTGTTCTATATTTTTAAACAGTACCAAATAATTTTGATAACTATTGCCTTGTGGTATAGTTCACATTTTGGTATTTCTGGGCTCCATTCCTTTATATATTTTTCATTATTTCCCTTGAGATTCTTGAACTTCTGTTTCTCCAGATGAATTTTAGGGTTTTTCCTAGCTTTATAAAGTAAAACTTTCATAGTTTGTATTAAATTAACTAAAGTATTTTGTAATTTTTATTATATTGAAATGCCCCAACCATGAGCAATTAATACCTCTCTATTTACTGAAGTCTAACTTTATTTCTGTAAAAAGTATTTTATCATTGTATTTCTATAGTTCCTCTGTGTGACTTTGTAGATGGCATACAAAATATTTAATATATTCTGTAGTTATTTTAAATGCAATTTTTCTTTCCATTTCTCCCTGCTAGGTGTTGTTGCTAATACACAGAAAGGCTGATAATTTACATGGGCTTATTTTTTATCTTGCTCTTTTGCTGAAGTTATTGTTTCAAATAGTTTTTAATAGACTCTCTACAGTTCTTTATGTTGTTGTTGATTAATCAACTTTCAGTTGTGTTTGACTCCCCAAGGGGCTTTGTCGGCAAAGATCCTAGAGTGATTTGCCATTTTCTTTTCTGGCTCATTTTACGGATGAGGAAACTGAGGCAAACAGAGTTACACGACTTGCCCAGGGTCACACAGCTAGTAAGTGTCTGAAGTCAGATTTAAACTTAGGAAGATGAGTCTTCCTGACTACAGGCCCTATCTACTGTGCCACCTAGCTGCCCTAGAGTTCTCTATTATAGACCATCATACCATCTGCAAAAAAGAATTTTTGCTCTAGCATAGATAATATATTCTAGTCTCTCTCTTAGTTTTTCTCTCTCTTTCTTTCTTAGTTTTTCTTTCTCTTCCTCTATTTCTGTCTGTCTCTTTCTGTCTTTCTATCTGTCCCTCTCTCTCTGTGTTTTTCTCTCCTCCTTCTTCCTCCCTTCCTTTAATACAGAAGAGGAAACCACATCCAAGAGAAGCTAAATAACTTGCAGCTAATGGCAGATATGGAATTTACCTTAGGTTTTCTGACTCCAAATTTTTCTGGTTTCCTCTAACAGACTGTAAATTCCTTGACAGCAGAGACCATGTCTTACTCATATTTTATTTCCAGCATGCTAGGATACTACTCTGTATGTAACAAGTTCAGTCAATTAGTCAGTAAGCATTTAAGCACCTACTGTGTATCAGACACTGTGTCAAGTGCTAGGGATATAAAGAAAGACAAAAACTAGTTCCTGCCCTCAAGAAGCTCACAGTCTAATAAGGGAGATGATATGTAAGCAACTATGTAAAAACAATATACATAAAGGATAAATGTAAATAAAGGATAATCTCAGAGGGAGAGCTTTAAGATTAAAGAGTACTGGGAAATGGTCACTGAATGAATATTCAGGGAGAAATGAATAAGCATTTATTAAGCTCCTATTACCAATGTGCTAAGCCCTTTACAAATATTATCTAATTTGATTTTCACAACTCTGTGTGGCAGGTGTTATTAGTCTCAATTTATAGTTGAAGAAACTAAGGCAAACAGAGGTTAAGTGACTTGCCCAGGGTCACACAACTAATAAATGTCTGAAGCAGGATTTGAACTCAGGTCTTCCTGATTCTAGGCCTCTATCCACTGCACCATTAAAACTGCATCTTTACATGTATATCAGATGTCTCACATGTTATCAAGTTAAGTGTAGTTTTGTAAATTCTCACACAAGGGTCGGCTCTCCTAAAAGATATTGTGGTGTCATAAATGCTCACCATCAACTGGCAGGTTTTTCATCAGCTCTTGAAATTCCTGATCTGACAATTCAATTCCTGTATTTTTCAGAAGGTTGTCTATGTCAGTGATGGCAATCTTTTCTCCTTAAAAAAGAATAGTGAAAGATGCTGATGAGAACAATACCTACTTATTGCAAAGCATGAAAAAAACCTACTTATGTATCATTGTCCTCAATTTCAGCATTAAAAGAGAAGTGTAATGAGGAATTAAGAAGGAATGCTTTTGTACTTAAATGGAGACCCTGAAGTTAGAGTCAGAGAAATTTAACCAATGACAGACACAGTGAAGTATGGACAGGATACTACCCAGTGACTTAGGGTTACATAGACAAGTGATTTAAATAATTGGGCTTGTCTTAAACATAGGTATGCCACTTGTTATGACTAGGTTCTCTATTGTTGTTGTTGTTTGTCTTTTGTTTTCAAAAAAGACCAGTGACATCATGGGGTAATGTCTTGATTCTCACTTGAATTGGATTTAAGTGAAGCAGAGCTGCACAGAGCCATCAGCCTCATCCTCTCCTCCAGAGTCATCAAAGTTCAGTGGCAAGGCAAAAATCTAATAAAGGACTTTTAAGCATTAGCTAAGAGGGTAGAAGAAGGTCTGGGAAAGACCTTAATTTAGAAAGGTCGAGGTCATTTGCTACATCCCGGGCCATCACCAGTCCCTTTGACTTTTGTCTTGCCTCTGGACTTTGATGATTCTGGAGGAGAGAGTGAAGCTCATGGCTGTGTGCAGCTCTGCCTCACTTAAATCCAATTCATGCACAAGCCAAGACATTACCCCATAATGATCCTCTTTGAAAATGAAGAAGGAATAACAACAACAACAACAACACAACTGGTGATAGCCCAGATGCAGTGGATGACCTTGACCTTTCTAAATTAAGGTCTTTCCCAGGCCTTCTTCTATCCTCTTAGCTAATGCTTAAAAGTCCTTTACTAGGGAGCAAAGAGTATCCTTTCACAATAAAAAATAAAGCTTAAAAGACAAATACAAGTGGCTTCATAGTTTAATGGCTAGCTAACATTTTGAATTCAATGTTTAAAGATCAAATATTAGCTGTACCTTGGTTTTTTGTTTTTGTTTTTCATATATATAGAAAGTGTGGTTTAATGGAAAAATCTGACTTGGCAGTCAGAATACCTTGGTTTTATTATTAACTTGGACCCTAAATATGGTTTGTGTAAATAAGGTTCCATATCTGTAAAATGATGAAATAAGTGTAATTATAGCTTTCTATAAAAAAGTACAAGTGTAGCCTTCTATAAAGTATGAGAATGATTTAACTTTATGCTAAGGTATAAATGACTGATAATAGGTTCCTTCCTCAGAGCAGGTTTTGATAATGGGATGGGAAGAGGACAAAAGGTTGTTGGGTATCTAAAGGGATTGGGAGAGGGGGATGGGAAGAGGAGAAATATCAGTGGAGGAGAAAGAGGAGGTACAGACCTTGAATGACAGTGAACAAACACAAGGATTTGATTTTCTTCACTTAAATTTAGAGATTTGTTTCTATATTGAACTAATTTACTGGCAAAATATCAGATCTCTGCATCAGCGTGTGCTGTTCAGACATAGAATTTGGCTGTTTAAAAAAACAGCAAATTTGCAGAAATATGTAAAGATATATGTCATGGAGCTTATCTGTAGATGCCTACAGAGGGAAATTGAAGGTCAACAGGCATAAATGTTGTATTAATAATTCGCTGGCATGATGGCATTAGTAGGTGAAGGGACAAGATGATGTATTTAAAAAAAGAATTCTAAAGAATGAGGATGCCAGTTTTATCTTAGCGTCATAATCTGCCACTCACCTTGAATAGCCTTAATTTCTTTCAACAGTTTGCTTATATCCATCTTCCCATAAGCTATAAGAAAAGGCACAATTCATGCATAGGACATGCTATGTCAAACTGAAAACAATACTCAACAAATGGGAGATAACTGACAGTATCAAAAATAGGAGCCCCGAGTTAAGGGAGTAGAGCTAGTTTATCTAGCTTCTTGATGCCGCTAACACTTAGGCCTCTCACCAGCCAATCAAATATAATGGCCAGAATGGAGAGATTTATTGAAGCAGGATGGGACTTGGAGACTTTCTACCTTGTGAAACTCTTTCCTTTCCTGTTCCCTTCTGTCTGTCTCTCTGATCTTTTCTCTTCTATTTTTATTCTCTACTCTATCCACCTCCCAGCCCCTACCACATACCTTCTCTCCCTGATTATTATTATAGAGCTGCCAGGAGTCCTAGTATCACTTTCAGGCACTTCTGTACAGCCATGATGGCTATGGAGGGTGCTGACCCTTGGTGGAAGGAGCATCAGGATGGGACGGGACTTCTCATTTTAGTTCTATGTCTTTTTAAATGTATTCCAGATCTTGAATATGTGAAATATGTTTCATACCTTCTGAGAAATTCTCTTGTGTAGCCCCAAGCTCCCCTGAAGGCTGCAGTGGTATCAGAAATACTTACCATCAATTGGCATATATCTTAGCACCTCTTGAAGTTGCTCATCTGTAAGTTTAACTCCCATGTTTTTCAGCACATTGTTCAGGTTATGAACATCAACCTTCCCACCTTAGCGAAATAAAATGGGCATTGGGTTTTTTTTATTTTAAATACAAAAAGTTCTTGGTTTCAGCTTTACCTGTCTTCTCAGATGCTTCTCACTAACCTTTAAAGTTCTTGAAGGCATCCAGCAAATCACTCTGATACAAGGTTCCTTTAACTGAAAGACAAGACAAAGGTCTGACCCAGGGACAGTGATAAAATTTTTATAAATATTTATGAATATGAAAATTATAGAAATTATGAAATTATAGAATTAATGAAAATTAGCATGAAAATTAGGAATTTTTTTTGTTATTTTATTTTATTTTATTGATTTATTCCCTCCCACCCTCCAGTGAGAATGGAACTAAGGGATAAAGTTTCAATGTGATAAGTTGATTCATTTCATGACTCAAGTGTCTTTTGAATGTAGTAGAAGGTGTTCAATGCAATATCCAACTTATACAATATGTATGTGCATCATAACAAGTACTCTAGTGATGTATCGTCCTTTTTCAGGGTCTTAGATTCAGGACTTTTTAGAAGGAAGATGAAGAGACACTCTTCACAAGTACTCGACTTTTTTTTTTTTTTTTGGCTCAGATTCTTCCTTTCACATTAAAACTCTGAACAGAGCTCTGCAGCTGATTAATAAATACAGTATGTACTTTTAGAAATAGAAGAGCCACATGATGAGTTTCCTTTCTCATACCTCCTCATTTTTAATGTATTTGATTCCTGTTTCTGGTTATATCTAGTAGAATAAGTAGCTATGTAGAATTTTAATTTAAGGTCAGCCACTGGTCATAAGAGAGGAGATAAAATCTGCTCAATTCAATAGCCTTTTGTCAATCCTCAACCTTCTAGACTTTTCTGCAGTTTTCCATGTCATATCCTCCAGGATAGCATCTCTGTTGGCTTCTGACACTGCTCTCTCTTGGTTCTCATCTTCTACCTGTCTGACCACTCTTCTCCTACCTATCTGCCAACTCTTTAGTCTTTGCTGGATCATCCATCTCTTGTCCCATAAACATCAGTGTCTCTCAGGGTTCTGTCCTGGGCTTTCATCTCTCTCTACTCACTTGCCTTGGTGATCTTATTCTATCTGATGGGTTCAATTATCAGCTTTATGAAGGAATCCTTATGAACAAACCATAAACCCAAGCTCCTCTGTATGGTGATGTGGTATTTAGACTACTTACAATCAGTTGGCAGGTATTTCATCAGCTCCTTAATTTCCTTATCCGTGAGCTCAACCCCCATATTGCCTAGTAGCTTATCCAGGTCTTGCACATCAATCTTCTCTCCTTGAAAAAGATGGGAATAGTGAAAGATGGAAATAAGTGATATACCTAATGATGACAAAGTAGGAAATTAATATTTAAACCCAATCATATTCTTTCCTTCCCCCACCTTCAGTACAATAAGCAAAGGCACAATGAGACTAACAAAACAGAATTAGTTTATTTAATCCTGGTCCATAAGAATATAGTTTACCTCAAAGGGCAGGTCAACACAGTGAACAGGGAAGTAGGAATTGGAAAGTTCCAAATTTTATTATATATATTGCTAAATATATAAACATAAATGGTTATCATTATTTTATGATTTTACTATATAACAGCATACATTTCTGACCATTAGGTAGGGTTTGATTTTTTGAATCTGAATACCCAACTTAATTGTCTCTACTCATCTAAATTCCTATACAATTGCCAATTCTTTGCTTACCTCTTTCTTATATAACTAGGGGCTCACTATTAGAGAGCAACAGGACTGAAACTGGAAGCTTAGCCTCTCCTATCCCTAAGAAAGAGAGGAAGAGCAGGAGACAGGAATACTGAGAGAGTGAGAGTGAGTGTGAGAGAGAAAAAGACAGAAACAGAGAGATAGAGACAGAAACAGAGACTGTGAGAGACACACAGAGAAACAGATAGACACAGACAGGAACTCTGGAAGGGTAGTAAGGGGCCTCAGCAGTGTTTGGCCCATGACTAGGGGCCACTGGTCCATCTATACAAGCTTGGCTTTGTGCTTCTGTGTCTAGATAAGAGGGATGAGTGATGGGGGTAGGGATAGGAATGGAGAATCTTCTATTTCATTGATATAGGAAACTTCCAGGTAAAGAACTCCCTCTATCAATGCAAGTCAGCATGTTCTCTGAAATTTATAGTCTTGAAGAGCTGCCCAGAATCTTAGAGAAGTTAAAGGAATTGCCCAGGGTCACACAGACAGTATGTATCAGAGGTGGCACTTGAACCCAGGGCTTATTGGCTCTAAGCCCAGCTCTCTATCCACAAGGCCATATTACATAACAGGAAATATGTTACTCTGGAAAGATTTTGGGACACATGGGACTTAATGAAAGCACAGAATAATGAAGACTATTTTTCAAAATGTAAGAGAAATGAAATAAATGTTTCTACAAGAAAAAAAAATCTCATCAGTAAGTCTCAGGAAAATCATGTAGAAAAACATAGTTTAAAAAAATCCAACATGCATCAGGAGCTCATTTTACTTAACTTTTTTCATCACAATTTTCACTCACCTTTAACAGCCTGTATAGAGTCCATCAAATTGCTCATCTCGACCTTCCCATTGGCTGTAAAACAGGGCACAATTCAGACACACAGGTAGTGATGCTCCAAAGAGTAAAAGTATTCCATTGGAATCTTGCAATTGTCATGATTTTTCTCTCCCTAAACTCTTGGTCCTTAGTTAAAAGGAAGCTGGGAAAAGGGGAAATCTCTCCATGTAATGGCTACATCTTTTTAGTTCCTAAACTTCTTTTTAAAATATACAGTCTTATCAGATTCGACCCATGCAGCAGAGACATAGAACCAGAAACAGCCTCCAAAAGAGGTGATATATTTTCTACGGAGAGTCAGCAGAATAGAAGGAGAGGAAGGGAAGTGGGTTGGATTATTCACACTGCAGTTACACAGAGAGAAGGATCTGCTACCTTTTTCTTCCTAATTGCAATTGTGGATACAACCTTAACCTTGCACAACATCTCTTTTTAAAGCATAAAACTCCTTTCAGTGAGTCCCCCTGACTAATACTTGGGTATAATTTTTTCTTTTTGAGGGTTGGGGTGAATGAATAGAGTGCTTAGATCTGATTTCATCATGGGTAATTCCCAGTGAGGAAACTCCTTAAGCCGATGTATTATTTTAGTTAGATCATAGTAACATTGAACATTCCTGATGGTATCATGAGGTTACCTTGTGTGTACTAGATTTTAAAAGAAAGAAAAAGAGAGAAACATTGTAAATGGCATCATTTCTTTAGTGGGTCAAAACAAACAGACAAAACTACTGGAGAGGAAGACATGTATTGTAAATAAAATCATGGAACAAAGAAAATATTATCAAAAGCAGTGGCAATGGTGTCCATAGTGAATTAGTGAGTAAGATTCAAACAGCCCTGGGTTGGCTCATATAATCCTAATTGTTGACTCCTTTTCTCAAGGGCATAGGTGTCCCAGAAACATTTTGGTGAGTTCTCATGGGCATATTTCTAGTTGAATCAAAACAAATTGTGATGGTGGTGGTGTTTTTACAACATATAACTTTGGAAATTAACATAAAATAACATACTACAAACCATTACAATTACAAGGCACTTTATACTTTTCAAAGCACTTTGACATTGATTATCTCATACCTCATTTAGTTTGTGTATGGTAATTCTTGAACTGAATGCAGATATTTTTTACTAAGAAGGCCTCCCAAATAATCATGGGGCACATAAAAAGCACATTCCTAGCTTATGTACCAATCTGAAATATCTTATAATTTTCAGGTTGGTTGTGATGGTTGCTATATGGTTGTTGTTGATGATGATGATGATAGGTAACATTTACATAGTATTTACTATGTGCCTGGCACTGTGCTAAGTGCTTTACAGTTATTATAGATGTACACAAAACCCCTGCAAAGTAGGTGCTATTATTATTCCCATTTTACAGATGAGGAAATTGACAGACATTGACTTGCCCAGGATTCTGTAGCTCGTAAGCATTTGAGGCCAGATCTGGACCCATGTCTTCCTGTCTCCAGGCCTAGCACTCTATCAGCTGGGCTACCTTGCTGCCTCAAATGTCTGGTTTGATCCTTAGCGATAGTTCAGCCAAACACTGATGCATGATACAGGAATGCTGGGGGATGCTGTTGCTTCCTTCTCCTCCACATTCCCACTGTGTCAGTACAAGAAGGAGCTAAGCAACTGAGGATGTAATGTGTCTGCTACTGCTTCAGAAATCCAGAGTCACAGTGGATATTAATGAATCTTGACTGCTGCTTTATGTCTCATTTGCCCCCTCAAAAGGGACTGAGACGGGAGTTTTAGTTGGTGTCCTTGGCCACAGCCAAATGAGGGAGCAGCCTTAAATGCCACCAGTGTGGTGAAGACCCTGGGCAGCCTATAGAGTTTCAGCTACTCTAAAGTATACTTAACTGTTTGACTCCAAATTAGCCACAGCTGTTTGTAGTATGAGAACCTTTCTCTTTAATAATGCTGTTTCCTGCTTTGATGAAAAGGCCTCCATTACGAGGCAGCACTGCCCACAAAACAACAATAGCAAAACCAAGCCTGTCTACTCTCATTGCCTCCAATTTATTTACTCTCATTTCTCTACCCTTTGCAGTCTGGTTTCTGATCTTATTATTCAACAGTGACTGCTCTCTCCAACATTAGCAATAATCTCTTAATCGACAAATCTGATGAGTTTTTCTCTGGCCTCACCCTTTCTTCAGTTTTATATAGCATTTGATACTGTCGACCACCTTCTCCTCCTGGATATTCTTCTCTCCTTTCTAGGTTTTTGTGACATGGCTCTGTCTTGGTTCTCTTCTGACTGCTTCCCAGACCTCTTTAATGACTCTTCAGCTATACCTACTTCCCTAACTGTGGTCATACTCTACAAGGGGCCTGGCTCCTTTTCTCTTCTCATCTCTTCTCTTTCTACAGACAGCAATCTCATTAGCTCCCAATTGTCATTTCTATTCAGATGACTCCAAGACTTATAATACCAGACCTAAATTCTCACCTGAATTCTAATCTTGTACCATGAGCTGTTTAATGGACCTCTAAAGTTGAGTGTAGCCACCCATCTTTCATACAGCTGTGTTTCTGTCAAAAATACTGCCATTCTTCTAGTTACCCTTGTTTGAAACTTCAAGGGTAAGTCATACTTGACTAGTCACTTGCCCTAAAGCTGCATATCCAATTCTTTGACAGATTTTGCTATTTTCTACCTCTCTGACATTTTGTCATATCTGATCCTTTCTCTCTACTCCCCTAGTTCAGGCATTTATGACCTCTTGCCTAGACCAATGCAAAAGTCTCCTAACTTGTTTTCAGGCCTCAGTCTCTCCTCTCTTCAATTTACCCATTACATAGCTACCAAGATCCTAAAGAGCAAATCTGATCTTGTCATTTGTTTACTCAATAAACTCTAATGGCTTCCTATTCTCTCTAGGGTCAGATACAAACTCCCCAGTTTAGTATTTAAAACCTTTCACAACCTGGCTCTAACCAATTTAGAATTATACATTATTCCCCTTAATGTACATTCAGCCAATTTGGCCATCTTGCTGTTACTCACTTGACATTCCATTTTCTTTCACCATGCTTTTGCATAAGCAATCTTCTATGTCTGAAATGCACTATACCCATGGGAATCCTTTGTCTCCTTCAAAGCTCAGCTCAAGCACTACCTTTAACATGAAGCATTTTCTGATCTCCCAGCGGCTAGTACTTCCTCTCTTCCCAGCTACCATTTACCTTGTATTTATTCTCTATGCTTATTTATGTACATATGGTGTCTTCCAGGAGTGTATAAGTTCTTTCAGGACAGTGACTGTTTTATTTTTGTCTTTGTATCTCTGATGCCTGGCATAGTGTCCAGCACATACATAGGTATTCAATAGATGCTAGATGAATGATTGAATGTGTCGCAATTGAAATTAAGGTAAAACTGAGGCACAAAGTTCTGAGCACATTCAATTTATCAGGCTAGTAGTAACCAATAAATTGGTCCTCTTGGCTCCTCAGTCAGCCAAAAGACCACAAGGTAAGGCTTATTAGCCTTCACACAGTTTCAACCAGTACAAGAGAACAAAGAAAAGGAAGCATCAAAATAATACAGTTGGTTACAAAGTTTGAGGTAACATAGATGATGGAAAACAATATGATTGAATGGTAGTCTGGAATGCAGGGCTAGCAACAACCCCTCCTTCCATCTTGTTGCCAGGGAAAACTCATTGGTGGTGTCCACCCCTGCATGGCTAGTTAGTGTCACAGCTAGACTTTGTTGAACGACAGCCAGTGTTGCAGAGAGAACAGATTTCCTGGCCCCCACCTGCATCTTGAGAGGTTTGTTAGTGAGGTAACAGATCTCTCTTAATTATACATAGGTATGAAAGTTTAGTAAGGTCTCCCTCATTGTGCATGGGCAGTAAGATGTGTAAAGGCTCAATATATTTCTTTGAATTAGGGTGATTAATGGGACAACTTATTCAGAAAGGAAAGCTGAACTTCTGGACTCATGAACTTCTGAATTTAACTCAGAGACAAAGAAACATGGCTCAGGCAGTTACAGAATGAAATAAATTACAGGGTAGAATTAAATATAAACTAAATTAGTATTTGATTTTCTCAAATGATAGGAATGATTGGTGGCCCTTGTGGAGACCGTTGCTGGCACTAAGCAGAAGGTCCAGTATAGTGGAACAATGAATTTGGAGTTGGAAGATGTGAGTTTTTAGTACCGGTTCTGCCACTTACTAGCTATGTGACTTTGGACAAGTTGCTTAATCTCTGAGATTCAGTTCCTTCAGCAGTAGAATGGGTATCATAATCATTGCACTATCTCACTTAGTTCTTTGTGAAGGACAAATATAAAGTTCTTTGCAAACTGTAAAGCATTATATAAATGTAAGGCAAGAGTCTACTCAAATTCTCTTTCTCTCTCATTCTTGACTCCTCGCCCTCAACATTTATATCTATTTTCTTGCCAAGGTCTCTTGATTTTTACTTTCATATTATCTCTTATATATGTTCTCCTCTCTCTGCTGACATTGCCACAGCCTTCGAACAGGCCTTCATCACCTCATGCTTGGATCCTACAACAACCAGTAGATTGATCCTTCTGCCACAAGTCTCTCTCCACTCCGGTTCCTCTTTCACTTAGCAGTCAAACTAATCTTCTTAAACTGAGGTCTGACCATGTCCAGCCCCACACCCCATTTAATGAATGCCACTGGCTCCCTATCACCTCCAGGATCAAATATAATTCCTCTGTTTGGCATTTAAAGCCCTTCATAACCTACCTCTACCCTCCTCCCACCCTCTCCAGTCTTTTTATATTTTACCTCTTCACTACCTACTCCACAACCCAGTGACACCAGCCTCTCTACTATTACTCAAACAAGTCACTTCATCTCCTGACTTTGGGCATTTTCTCTGGCTATCCTCCTACCTGGAATTCTCTCTCTCTCTCTCTTTCATCATCATCATCATCATCATCATCATCTCTGCCTCTTGCCTTCCTTCAAGTCTCACCTAAAATTAACAGCTTCTGTAAGAAGGCTTTCCTGATCCCTCTTAATGCTAATTCCTTTTCTCTGAGATTATCTCCAATTTGTCCTGTATGTATCTTTTTTAATTCATAGTTGTTTGCATGGTGTTGCCCCCACTAGATTGTATGGTCCTTAAAGGCAGGGACTTTTTTTCTTTGTATTTGTGTTAAAATTGTATTTTGTTCTAGTCTGCCTGACCCTATCCCCCACTTTTAGTTAATATAATAAGTAAGTTGATAAGTAGCCAGTATAAAGTAACAATAACCAGAAGTAAGATTGCAAAGGGGAAATCTAAAAGTCACTTATAGACTGTCCACAGATTGTTTGCAAACTGTCTTATAAATTAACTAAAGTAACATCCTAAGATTATGTGCTAAATCAGGAGAAGCCAGCTAGGCCTTCTTGTAAGAGCCCTTTGATCCTGCTAACTGTCCATGGTCTGCAAGCCTAAAATAAAGCTCCAGATATCAGCAGTAAGACCAGCAGAGAATATCAAATGTAGATAACTTTTGAGATGATGTGGATATATTAATGAACTAACCCTGAGGTAGCATGCATATATAATCCTATAAAAATGAGACCCCAATCTCCTGCCCCACAAGCACTCTTCTATCTCCATCTGGGTCCATGGTGCCTGAGCACTCCCAGCTCCAATCTGTGGTTCCTCCACCACCCCAATCCCTTCCCCATGCTGTCTACCTCTGTGCCCCATGCTGCTGCGCCGTTTATCTCTACTTTTTGTGCTATTTGCCTGTGTACTCTCTGTGCTCTTATTAAAGTGTGATTGAAACTTTGCTCCTTACTTACTGCAATTATGATCTTTTCTGGTGAGCATCCGAAGAACTGGGTATGCCTTAACCCAGAGGGACCCCCTTGTGGTCCTGTTCCCTTATTCCATAAATGAATTAGCAATTCAGTATCCCCAGGGCTTAGCACAGTGCCTTGAACATAGCAAGCACTTAATAAATGCTTACTGACTTCATTCACATACTTCCCAAGCTTCTCAAATCTTATGGTTTTCTGTAGAGCACAATATGAAAGACTCACCATTCACTGGCAATTGTTTCAAAATTTCCTTTAGTTCCTCATTCGTGAATTTGATCCCCATATTTTTCAGAACCACATCCAAATTATTGGCATTCACCTTTCCTCCTTAGGAAAAAGGGGGAAAATGAAAAATGAGAATAAAGTAATATAATGTAATAATGCTTAAGTATGAAAGGTACCAACTACTCTCTATGTCTATGTTTCATAATTCTTTAAACTAAAGAAACAAGACCTATTCAAGCACACCCAGTAAATGTACTAGAAGTTCATAAATAGAACCTGTCCGCTTTACCTTGGTCCATGTAACTATTTTATTCCTCAAAAGATAAAGCTATAAGTTGTGAAGTGAAGTAGGGTTTGACAGTCCATTCTAAAAGAATGGGCATATAGATGTCACAGTGGAAAGAGTGGAAAGAGTGCTGGGCCTGGAGTCAGGAAGACATGAGTTCAAATTTGGCCTCATACATGTACTATTTGTGTTGGTATCTAGATGGTACAGTGGATAGAACACTGGGCCTGGGATCAGGAAGACTCATCTTCTTGAGTTCAAATCTGATCTCAAACATTTACTAGCTGTGTGACCCTGAACAAGTCACTTAAATTGTTTGCCTCAGTTTGCCTCAGTTTCCTCATCTGTAAAATGAGTTGGAGAAGGAAATGGCAAATTACTCCAGTATCTTTGCCAAGAAAACCCCAAATGGGGTCACGAACAGTGAGACATGACTGAAACGACTCAACAACAAGAGGATCTGACCAACAAGTTTGGCTTGATTTTTTTGGTTCTTTAAGCATCAGATTAACTGTCTCTGCTATCAGACATAGCGGCCCACATCTGTATCCCAGCTACTGGGGAAGCTGAGGCTTGTGGATCCTTTGAGCTCAGTTCTGAGCCTGTGGTAGGGCTAAGCTGATAGGCTTCCACTCTAAGTCAGGCACCAAGAGGGTGAGTGCTAGGTAGAGGTGGGGCTTCAGGCATAAGCAGGGGCAGGCCATCGAGTCAGAAACAGAGCAAGGCGAAACTTCTGGGCTGATTAGTGGAGTTGGGCTGGTGAGTGGCTGCTGCACTTCCAGCCTAGGAGAAATAGAGAGACTCAGCCTAAAAAAAAGTTTTGGCCAAATTCACTACAGAACTGTCTCCCATTTATCTCACTGTCTCGCATTAAAACCTATAATTTAGTTGTTCAAGTGAATGTTTGAAAATGTGAAAAAATGAAAGGGAATATGGGACTTGCTAGAAACAACATACAACTGTTAATGATTTGCTCCTATTCAGGTATAACTAAAGAAACGTAAAGTCTTTGTACAGAAATGTCTGATGAATAAAATCACACATAGGGGCTCACTCCTAGACAAGAAGTTTCAGAAAGGAGGGGGCCATCTCTTCTCTAAATTTTGCATTTACTCCAATGCCTAGCACAGTGTCCTGCACGTAGGAGGAACTTAATAAATTCCTAGCTGAGTAGCTAGGAAATAAAACTGACAGTCTAAAATAGGAAAGACCAAGACTTCTTAAAATCATTTTATTTGCTCACCTTTAAAATTCTTCAAGGCTTCCATCACCATCTCATGATTCATCTTTTCATGAACTGTAAGATAAAAAGCACAATTCAGATTACTCAGGTAGTGAAATGAGATTCCATCATTGAATAAACATTTATAGGCAGCCTGCTATATGCAAGGCATTGTGCTAAGAGTTAAGACAGTCTCTGCCTTCAAGGAACATAGTATCTATTTGGAAAGATAGACAGATGTCCAGAATACAACATAGAATGTAATAATTTCCATCTGAGAGGTACAAAGTATTATGAGAGCTCCTAGGATTCGAGACCTAAAGCTCGAAGTGACGTAGAAGTCATCTGGTCATTTTAACCATCTCATTTTACAGATGAGGAAACTAAGGCCCATAGTGGTTGAGTGACTTGCCCAAAGTCATATAGCTAATCAGCCTCGATTTGAACCCAAGTCATCTGACTTCAAAACTAACATGCTTTCCATTGTGCTGGAGCAATAACTAAAACCCATAGCACCTGATATTTCCAGGCAATATTCCAACCACATACTGATGAGGACTCATCCTGCTTAGCTTCTTAGATGAGATGAGACGATAGTAAAAGATCACTTCTAGCTGGGGGAGAAGAGCAATGCTTACATACAGAGGAAGATATGACTTGAACAAAGATGAGGAAGAGAAAAAGCACAGGGCATATTTAAATAATAATGAGTTTGGTTTGAACATACCTCAAAACAGGTCCTAACCCCACCTTACATATACCCTCTGCACTAGCTAAACTGGTTTACTCACCATTCCCTCAGTCAATTATTAGCCATGTGCCTTCCTCTCTTTGTTATTATTATTCTGACCTCCCTTCTTAATCTCATTCCCAAGAAGCTCAAACAATTTGTCATGTAAGGCCTGTCATGTAAGGCTTAATTCCTTCTTCTCCTCCATGAAGCCTTTCCTGACTATTGCAACCATAGGGACAGTTCTACTTAGGCTAAAGTCAACATAGAATTTATATTGTCCGAATCATTCATTTGTTACTTATCACAGGCACTACGGTGTTGTTAACAATCTTTCTATGAAGGGGCAGCTAGGTGGTGCAGTGGATAGAGCACCGGCCCTGAAGTCAGGAGGACCTGAGTTCAAATTCGGCCTCAGACCAAGCACTTGACACTTACTAGCTGTGTGACCCTGGTCAAGTCACTTAACCTCAATTAAAAACAAACAAAAAAAGTCTTTCTATGAAACATGGTATAGTAGAACAAGCCCTGAATTTAGAATCAGGAGAAGCTTGAATCACATGGGTATGAATGGAACATGGTTGGTACTTTATAAATATTATTGAATGGAACTGAAGAAATTTCTCATATCCAGGCCTATTCTCTTAACACTAGAACTCACCATCAATTGGTAGATGCTGCTTTAGCTTCTCAAGTTCCTCTTCTGTGAATTCTATGCCCATGTTTCCCAGCATTGTGTCTATGCTATGAGGATCAATCTTTTCCTCTAGGGAAAAAGAGGAAAAGTGAGAGACAAAAATGAGGAAATGAATGTTTCCTGAAGGTGAAAATGTCACTGATGCCTACACATTATCATTTCCCATTTCAGTGGGGAAATAAGTGAAGATAACTGACATGTATTCAAAGGACTACAATCAAAAATTAAACCCATTCCTCTGATCTTGATTCAAGAGAAATGACCTAAAGCCTATTTTGTATGAGTAACTAGCATATTCTTTTTTTGACCAGACCTGTAATTTCCCTGTTATAGGAAACTCTTCCAGTACACTTGTTCTGTCACTTAAAAGCCTATGAGAGTGGTCTGGGCCATGGAGAGGCTAGTGTCAGAGGATCACAAAATTAGATTTGAAAAAGACCTTAGAGGCCATGGAGTCCAACCCTTTTATTTTACAGATGAGGAAACAAAGGCACAGAGAGGTGAACGACTCACCTGGGATCAAACAGATAGCAAGTATATGAGGCAGGATTTGAACCCAGATCTTCGTGACCTTAAGGTTGGTTCACTATCTTTTATGGCAATCTATTTCTCTAATAGTGTATACAAAACAAATAGAGAAAGTAGATTTCACAGTGTAATAGAGAGAGAGCAGGACTTGACATGAGGACACCTCTAGCTCTGTCACTAATTTGCCCTGCAACCTTGGTCAAGACATTTATCTGGTCTAATCCCATTTCCAGATCTAAAGATGAAGGCATTATGATCTTCTCCTAGAACTTTTCTAGCTTGAAAATTCCATGATTTAACCACTTTGGCAAAAAGGAATTATTGATTTTTTTGCCTAAATTATTAGATTGGGTCTTTATACTGACTAAATTAATTGGATAAGTATCAATTCCTCAATTTTCTGTCATGAAGACCTAGAACTGGATTGTTTCCACATTGGGAACAGGAATCAAATTATTTTCTGAAGTTCCTAAAGATGATCTATAAATGCAGATATATTAAGTAATAAGTAATAAGATACAAAGATCTCACTAAAAAAAATCGGTGAGTTGGCTTTATTAAGACAATTATGGGAAAAATTTGTTGTTGTTCAGTTATGTCTGATTCTTCATGATCCCATCTAGGGTACTCTTTTCTTAATTAAAAAAATTTTTTTGGCTAGGCAATGGGGTTAAGTGACTTGCCCAGGGTCACACAGCTACTAAGTGTTTTTTTGTCTTAGGCCACATTTGAACTCAAGTCCTCCTGAATCCAGGGCCGATGCTCTATCCACTGTGCCACCTAGCTGCCCCCCATCTAGGGTATTTTTGACAAAGATACTGGAGTGGTTTGCCATTTCTTTCTTCAGCTCATTTCACAGATGAGGAAACTAAGGCAAACAGGATTAAGTGACTTACCCAGGGTCACAAAACTAGTAAGTGTTTGAGGAGGGATTTGAATTCAGGTCTTCTTGACTCTAGGCCTGGTGCTCTATCCACTGCACCACCTAGCTGCCCCAGGAAAAATACGAGGAGGTTTTTAGATATCAAAAAGGACCATAAGATCTAGAGCTGTAAAGGACTTGGGCTCATCTATTTAGATCTTCCAATTTTACAATGAGAAAACTAAGACCCCAAGAGGCAAAGTGTCTGACCAGCATCACATGGGTAGTAATAGAACCAGGATTTGAAACCAGGTATTTTTCACTGTGTCTCCTTACCCTAAGTTCTTACTCACTTTTAAAAGTCTTCAGAGTCTCCTTCGATTTATCCTGATCTATTTTTCCATCAGCTGAAAGAAAAGGAATAATCTGAGACCCAGAGGCAGTGATCTCCAGAGACAGTGATATTATTGATCATGACCAAAATGGCATGAAATTCTGAAACCATAAAACACAGTCTAGCACGGTGATGATTTTTCATGATTTTCCCCAAAATGTAATTCTACTTTTCCTCCATGTCATCTGAGATGATGGAAGTATCCTTTCCTTTACTGTAGCTTCTTCTCTCTAATAGAATATCAAATTCCCCAAATAATTAATTAGAAAACTTACTCTAGAAATCAAAGTTGTGCTCTGAGGAAACATCTCTGGATCCCAAATCCTGCCTTGAATGAGACATTGTAGGAAGATAGAGAGTACCTCCGTTGGCAAAGAGCAAGGAGAATCTACTACTTTTCCCTTTCATTCTGTGGACACAAGCTTTTATGTTGCCCAATTTCTTTTAAAATAGAAAAGTGCTTTCTAAAAATAACAAATTCACCTTAATAGTGGTGATAATAAGGATAGGGGCTGAAACTGTGATTTCATGAGTACAAGGAATACTTTATCTATATTAGAGAATTTCCTAGAGGTTAAATGACTGGCCCAGGGTCACAGTATGTATCAGAGGTAGGATTTGCTAATAGCAAACACATCTGTACACATGTATACATACATGTACATATATATCTCATATCACTTACTAGGTGCTAGGCTTCGTGCTAAGTGCTTTACAATTGTTATCTCATTTGATCCTCACAACAACCTTGGGAGGTAGGGGCTATTATTATTCCCATCTTACAGGTGAGGAAACTGAGGCAAATAGATGTTAAGTGACTTGCCCAGGGTCATGTAGCTAGGGGGCAAGGGACAATCTGAACTCTGTTCTTTCCTAATCCAGGCCCAGAGCTCTCTCCACTGTGCCACCTAGCTGACCCCATAATTCAGTTCAATTCAATTCAGCAAACATTTATTAAGTGCCTCCCTAATTATGTGCTGGGCACTGTGACAAGTGCTAGAAATACAAAGAGAGGCTACCTACCCTCAAAAAGCCTACAATCTAACCTAAATAACCTATGTAATGTAGTGGGCATACTTTCATTAATGTTGCTAAAGTCCAGGGAACAGGAAATGTATGCTCTGTTGTTTCTGTTCCCATTTTTTTTTTTTGGCTGGTAAGAATTGAACTGTTGTTTTCTCAAGTTCTCTGTAGAATGGGATGTGGTTGGAATTACTGGGCCATTATGGCTGAACAGCACAATTACGTGAACAGAAAAAATGAGCCACTAAAAAAGTGCCTGGATCTTTTTCTTTATTGTTTTGTCTGGATCTGTGATTTCTTCTGTATGGAATTCCTTCCAGTGATGTTTATCAATCAATCAATCAAACAAACAACAAGTATTTATTAAGTGCTTACTATGTTCCAGGCTATCAACTTCTCTGCAACTTGTAGTTTAGAGTTGCCTGTGGGCAACCTCTGCAAGGTCATATGTCTTGCCCATGGTTGCACAGCTAGGATGTGTCAGAGCTAGGTCTTGAACCCAAGTTGTACTGATTTTAAGGTTTCCCCTTCCTCTGTTTACTACTCTAGAATGTATCTCTTTTATTTTCATTAGCGGGTAAAAATATTCCAAGTGGGTATATATGCCTTTGAAAAAAACCAGAAAAAAGAAAAAGGGCCCAAATCAGGAGAGGCAGTCTGGCAGAAATGCCCTAATTGTCCCCTCTTGTATTAAAGATAGCTTTATGTCTTGGCTGATCTGGGAATGTCTGAGTTTTTAACTAGCATCACAAGAGGCAGTGCTATTCCAAGTCAAGTCCTTTACAGGACAGCAAGTGTGGATTGATTATTCCAGGCCTAGTCTTTTAAAGGGCCATCAATTATTTTGTGAACCAGGTGGAGGTAGCTTCAGAGGGGAAGAAGAAAGTGGTACTGGCAGCTAGAACCAATAACTTGAGAGTCTTAGATATGTCTTACTGACACCAATGTGAGATAGAAACTGCCTCAAGTTACTCGCCTGTTCCATCCATCTTCCACACAGCTACCAAAATGATAATCTTAAAGCACAGGAATAGTCCTCCTCTTCCCCACTCCTTTGCCTACTCACTCCTCTGACCAATCAATTTCACTGGCTTATTTCCTTCTATGAACATGTGAAACTCTTCTACTTGGAATCTAAAGCTTTTTGAAATCTGGTTCCAAACTACCTTTTCAGTGTTATTATACATAACCCTCCTTCACACACACTGTGGTCTAGTCAAGATGACTTTTGTGGCATTTTACACGCAACATTCCATTTCCTGTCTGTGCTTTCACGCTGGCTGTACTCCATACCTGGAATGTTCTGTTTGCTTATCTCTACCCCTTAGAATCTCTAATTTCCTTCAAATCTCAGTTCAAGTGCCATCTTTTACATCAGATTTTTTCCTGATCCCTCTAGATCCTGGTGCCTGTCCTAGACCCCCAAAGACCTTGTATTTATTTTGCATATATATGCCATGACTAGAATATGCCTCATGGAGCATGTGAGATAGGATATCTTTTTACTTTTGGATGAGTCTTTCTATATCCTTTTAAAATTTTTTTGTTTTATTTTTCCCAGTTAACAAAAATCTATTTTCCTTTTCCCCCATTTTCTCCTTCCCCCATTAGGAAAAACAAAGAAAAAACCCTTGTATATGACAAGCAACATTTACAACCAACTATTGACATTCCCAAATTGAGTCTGAAAAATGTATAAACAGCAAGATTTGCCCAAGTGCGTGTCACTAAAGCTGTTGTTGTTGTTTGTCCTTTGTTCTTGAAGAGGACCATGACATCAGGAAAGTGATGCCATGACTTGCAAATAAATTGGATTTAAGTGAGGGAAGGTTGTACAAAGTCACCAGCCTCACTTTCTCCTCCAGAGCCATCTGGGTCCAGTGGCAAGATATGGATAAGGGAGACTGGAGGTGCCCCTCCCTACCAAGTGTGTGTAGAGAGAGACAATGAAAGGAAAGATAACTGGAAGTAGCATGAAATGTGTTCTCATGTCAACTTTGCCATTAAAATAATTAAGACAAATTATAGTACCTCACAGGTGATAATGATTAAAATAATACTTAGCACATATAATGCTTTAAGGTTTGTAAAGTACTTTATATGTTATCTCATTTGATCCTCACAATAATCCTGTGAGGTAAGCGTATAACTATATGAAAGATCTAATTTTTTTAACAAGGTATTACCCCCTCCCCCACACCTTTTCTCTAATCCCTGTTAGAGATCTTGGTACAGAAATATCAAGTATTTCAAAAGTAGTCTCCCATTTTAATTTTTTTTTCTTGATAATATATAAGTTTTTAAAAAATCCTAATCCCCATATTGTGTCTACTGATCAATATCCCAAATAATCATCAATCTTTCACTTCAGTGTTGTGATTTTTTTTGTGATAGAGTGAGTCACATCATTTGGCAAAACTGAAAAGAATATTCATCTATATAAAATATGTATATATGTAAACACATACATATATAAATGCATACATAGAGATAGATAGCTAGATAATACTTGCTACAAAGACACAGAACTGTAGACATCCATCCACACACAGATGGTTCCAAAAAAGAATTTAAGGTCATCAGATAACACAAGCATCCAACTGATATGATGTTATAGGGTACCTGTGTTATGGTTCTTCTGTAGGGCTTTTCACATACCTTTTACAGACTTCACAGAGTCGATCAACTTATTCAAGTCTACATTTCCATAATCTGCAACACAAGGTATAGTTTACACTCAGTGGCCACATTCGGGAAGTCACAGATACAGAGAAAAGTTCTGAAGTGGGTTGAACTTATACAGTCTAGATTTGTATCCTATTTAGCCCCACACTGATAAGCAGAGCTATCAGTCTCGTGGGTAATCACATATTCTTTAATGTATTTCCACTAATTTGGCTAGGTGGTACAGTGGATAGAGCACTGGGCCTGGAGTCAGGAGGACCCAAGTTCAAATCTAATCTCGGACACTTACCAGGTATGTGACCCTGGGTAAGTCACTTACCTCATTTGCCTCAGTTTCCTCAACTGTAAAATGGAGATAATAACTGCACCCACTTTGCAGTGTTGCTGTGAGGATCAAATGAAATAACTGTAATTGTAAAGCACTTAGGAAAGTGCCTGACAAACTATGTACTTGTTTTGTTTGTTTGGTCATTCAGTCATGGCTGACTCTTCATGACCCTGTGGACCATATGTCTATGGGGTTAGCGAGGATACTGAAGTGGTTTGCCATTTCCTTCTTCAGTGGATTAAGGCAAACAGAGGTTAAGCGACTCGCCCAGGGTCACACAGCTAGTAAGTGTCTGAGGCTGGTTTTGAATTCATGTTTTCTTGACTCCAAGTCCAGTGCTCTATCCACTGAGCCATCTAGCTGCTAATTCAACTTAGGAAACACAAAATAGATTGTAAATGATGTTTAAAAAAATTTTTTTTTGAAGTTTAGAACAATTCCTTCACTAAAATTTAATTTTGATTGCTCCTTATGGTATAGAGCAATGCTGGCTTTTCAGAAAAATCTGTGCTCATAGAACACAAGCTCTGACAGTTTCAACCAAGGTTTAGAACATGGACCCTAGGATCGATTGTGTACCTCTTGTTCAAGCCATAGCCTAGTTAAGTTTGGAGGGATTTACCACCAGAGAACTGGCTATCACATGATGAAAGAGTCACAGAAACTAACTAAATTGGGATGGTGCTATCCATATTGTGATCTACATTAAAATCACAGATCTTTTTTCATCATTGAACCATTAGGACAACTATATTACACATTGCACATAATCTTATTTTAGACCTTGTGATGAACAGAAAATGGTGTTAAGACAATAAAATAGATCATCTGTCTTCAGAAAAAGTAAAAGCTACATCAGTTATAAGGAGAAAACACAACCCGTGCTTTTTCATAGCAATTGTAGATGGTTTCTAGCATAATTAGAATCCAAGTTATTAATGTTGGGAAGTTTAAAAAAAATGTATCATCATCATCATCATTATCGCTAGCATTTATGTAGCCCCTACTCTGTGCCAGACATTGTGCTGTTTTACAACTATTATCTCATTTGATCCTCATATCAATCCTTCGAGGCAGGTGCTAGTATTATTTCCATTTTACAATGGAGGAAACTGAGGCAAATAGAGATTAAGTGACTTACCCAGGATCACACAGCTTGTAAGTATCTTAGGTTGGATTTGAATATGTCTTCCTGACTCCAGGTTGAGCAGTCTTTCTACTGCGCCACTGGCTGCCATAATTTTATGAATTATTTTATTTTATTTTTTTGTATTCTCTTCAGCACTTAGCACCACAGGCACTCAATATTTGCTGATTTATGGCTAAATGTGTTTTTGAAATTCTTCCATATGAGCCCAAGCTATCTTGAAGATTAATGTGGCTAGAAGCGTGTCAAAATACTCACGGTCAACTGGTATCTCTTTCAGTAGATTCTCTAATTCTTCATTTGTGAGCTTGACTCCCATGTTTCCCAGAATGCCATCCAGGTTATCGACACTGACTGTCATGCCTTAGGAAAGAAGGAAATACAAAAAACAGGAATTCTTAGCCATTTTTACAGATATGAAGACTACTACCTATGTTTGAATATTGTTATCTCCAATTTTTGAGTGAAATGCAAAGGCACAGTAAGATTTATTCAAATGTGCACAGAAGGGATAGATGTTGATGAGGAAGTCAGGCATAAAACTTGTCCCTCTAATCCACATAAATGGGACCCAGTTAAAGGGCAGAAAAAAGGTTGTGGTCGAGGTTTCCATGCCTTGACTGACATTTCCATTGTTAGCCTCACAAAGACTTTTGGTTCCTTTCTGGGCTCAGTGCCATAACTAGAGAAGGACCAGGGAGCCAAATAAAGGAGGCAGAAAGAACACTTTTGATCTTGTGCAGCATAGAAACAGTAGAACACAACACCTAGTTAGTAAGAATAATTAGTAAAAATAGGAAGCTCCCAGAGGGTGAGACAGAATAAATTGCCCTCACTCCATGTGGCTGCCTGCCCAGAAGTGTACCTGAGCATCTTTCTCCAGTGTCCCTTCACCCCCCCTTCCCCACCTTAACTCTTGCTTTTCCTTTACCCTATATATCCATTCAGTTGCCAAGGTTTGTGAACTCTGTACAGTATCTTCATAGCTACATAATTATCATCCTAATTCAGACCTTTATCACTGGTCTCTGGGGAAGATTTCGGGGTTCCCTACTTCTAGTGTCTCTACTCTCTAATTCATCCCCTATATAACTGCTAAATTAATATTTCCAAGAGATAGGTCTGACTGCTCAAAAAACCTTGCCTCTAGGATAAAACACAATCTTCAGCCTAGCACTGAAGAGGCCCTCTGTATTCTGGCACTAACTTATCTTTTTAGACTTCTTTCATATTACTGTCCCTTGTTGAACTCTGTATTCCTGCCAAATTAGCCTACTGGCTGTTCTCTAAACTAAACACATCATCTTCCAACTCCACGAATTCACAAAATGTCATCATCTAAAACATACTCCTCCCTCATTTCCACTTCTCAATATCCTTGTCTTTCATAAAGTCTCAGGTCATATGCTACCTCCTCTGTAATACCTTGTCTGATATTCACTCATCTCAGTTGCTAGTAGTTAATCCTTTCTCTAAATACCCTGTGTTTTACTTGCAAATTATATTTACAGAGTGGGGCAGTGAATAGGGAAGACTTAGGTTTAGGACTTGCCTCTGATGTCTTCGGATTTTGTGACCACGGGTAAATTACTTATCCTCTCAGTGTTCTAGATAACTCTTATGATTACAAATTGCACAGGAAGATGCCCTTTTACATGGAGAAGAGTTTTCTCACCTGGGCATTTTCTATACCAATGAAATCACAGTTCCTGTCTCTATCCCTATAAATACAAGCATGTTGTCTTGCCTCAGGTAGAATATTTTCTCCTTGAGGTCAGAGGGTGGTTTTTTTGAGTCTCTGTATCCCCAGTACCTAGCACAGTGGCCTTGCATACAATAGTTGATTAATAAGTGTTTTTTTGAATTGCTGTTATTATGTTGGACAAGTACAGACTCAGCCAGTTCCTACCTGAACTAGATAGACTTTAAACACAGACTGAACAGCAGATGAGGGTGGGAGGGGACAGAGGGACTATTATTCATAGATGGACATAACTAAGAGCCAAGAGACACATCACCAGAAAATTGGCAACTAGGGGATATAGCATCTTTTGGTCTAGGCTGCAATCTGTTCTGGTAAAGAAAGTTCTAATGAAACCACAGGTTTTTCAAAGTGCAGAAGTAGCAGTTATTTAACTTCAGCAGTTTATTTTTCCCGCTGTGATGCTCTTTGCTGTGGATGTGTAGAATCTGAATGAGTCTGTGCTGACAAAAGCAAGAGTACTGTTTTCAAAACCTTAAGAGAATATGGGATTTACTACAAGGATGTCCTTTATTTTCCAAAATTATACTAAAGCAGAACAGTGGATTATCAGAATATAAGCAGTAAACTAATAAAGAGGTGGGATGGCATGTTTCCCCTTTTAGACTGTAAGGTCCTTGAGGACAGGGAAATATTTCTTTATTTATCTTTGTAACTCCCTTAGTGCTTAGCACCATGTCCAGAACATAGAAGATGCTTAGCAAATATCTGTAGAATGTTTAAGGATTAGTTATATAATAATTAGGTAAAACAAATTATAAAATGTAGGAGAAAGAGGGTGGAACTAGGAGCTGGGATACCTGGATTTGAATCCAGGTTTTGACAGGGATTAATTTTGAACCTTGGCTTCCTTATCTGTAAAATGAGAATAATAACATTACATAATACCTGTACCTTACAGGGAATTTTTTCCCCCAGAGTTTTAAAAAATTGCTTTAAATTTAAATATCCAGACAAACAGGACACAACTCATTAACAATCTCCTTTTTGAAAAAAAAAATCCTCCCATATGAAAACAATCTTTAAAAAAATACAAAATAAAGCTAAGGAGGCATGCTCCCATATCATAATGGGGAGAGCAGTTGGCCCAAGGCAAAATCACTCCCAAACCTAACTCTAAGGGCTGGGTAGAAACATCTGATTGATGAGGGAAGGGTGTGGGAGAGTAGTTTGTGAGGTGTGAAGAAAGTACGTTGTAAATCTTAAAGCACTGGGTAGACATGAGCTAACATTAGTATTAAAGCAGCCTTCCTGCATGATTATTTTCTCACTTACCTTTTTTAGTCTTCAAAGCACTCATTAATTTACTGAGCTCCAACATCCCATTTTCTGTAAGACAAGGAACAATTCAGACACAGACTCCAAAAACAAAGTTTTAAAATTATGAAATGTATTATAAAAGCTAGGACCACTTCACATGTTTTGTTTTATAAAGAAATTAATTTTCTTTTCAGATGAACATGAAATCAGTCAAAGAAAAATTGGTTGCTATGTGACGGAGGCCTTCATTGATAACTTATTCTGCTTCCCCTTCTTGGAATTCTCTTCTCTTCCCTTCCACCTAGACACAATCCTTCCATTAGGGTGCAGATCAATTTCCACCTTCTCCGTGAGGCTTTTGCCAATAACTTGTTATAATTATTCTCCATAACATTCATTCTGCTACTGTATCATTCAGGATCATAGATATGAGCCCAAGTCTTCAAATTCTGCCATGAATTCTTGTTTCCTGAGTGCATTTTATGTTTCAGTCATCTTGTGTTTATTGAGCACCTACTATGTGCCAGGTACTATGCTAGGCACTGGTATAAAGTGACAAAGAATGAAACAATCCCTATGCTCAGGGAGTATACATTGTATTAGGAGAGATAACTTATATGCATGTATATGTACATATTATAATATAGACACATATGTGTGATATATTACATATATATGTATATGAAATATAAATAAATGCAAGGGAGTTAAGTATAAGACAGGGAAATGAGAGCACTAGTTGCTAGGGGACACAGATCAAGAAAGGCTTCATGTTGAAAGTGATCCTTGTGTTGAATGTTGAAGGAAGAGAGATTCTAAGAGTCAGAGGTGATGGAGGACTGCAAAGCAAAGGTGAAAGATGGAATGTTATATGTATGAAAAACAGAGAAAGTCAGTTTGGCTGAATTACAGAGTGTGGAAAGAGGATCACTGTATAATGATTCTGGAAAGATGGGTTGGGGCCAGGCTGCTAAGGTCTTTAGACACTGAACAAAAGCATTTATATTTTATCCCAGATGTAAAAGGGAGCCTGCCCCTTTGGTTTATTGAGTAGAGGAGTGACAGGTTCAGATCTGTGTTTAAGTGAAATCGCTTTGGCAGCTCTGTGAGGATGGACTAGACTGGGGAGAGACTTGAGACGGAGACAAATTAGAAAGTCACTGAAGTAGTTCAGGCAAGAGGTGGTGAACTAAAGGCGTGAATTATATGGGGGTTGTGGGAACTAAGGAACATACTGTTTCATTTCACAAAGTCTACTTCCTCTGATCCCACCCCAGCTTTGAAGAGGTAAACTCCACGATCAAGTATAGTCTACACATGATTAGGCTAAAGCTAGAGACAGGACTATGCTGTAGTGGATCCCTCCATGCCTCCCTCTAATCTCTCTCCATCTATTGGCTCCTTCCCTGCTGCTTAAAACACACCCAAGTCTCTTCTATCCTTAACAACAACAACAACAACAGCAACAAAACCTTACTAGAATCTACCATTCCCTTAAACTATCATTCTGTTTTTCTTCCTTTTTTAGTTGAACTCCTAGAAAAAGTTATTGGTGACCATTCCCTCTACTTCCTCTCCTCTTACTTTTCAACCCTTTGCCACCTGGCTTCTGTCCTTATCACTTAAGTAAAACCGCTCTCTCCAAAGTTTCCAATATAATCTCTTAGCTCTGATGATAGCTCTGATGATCTTTTCTTGGTCTTCATCCTTCTTGATCTTTCCATAATATTTGACACTGTTCACACTCTCTCCTGGATAGTATCTCTTTTCTAGGTTTCTGTAGCACAGTTGTCTCTTAGTGCTCTTCCCGCCTGTCTGACTATTCTTTCTCAGTCTCCTTTACTAGATCATCGTCCACATCGTCCACTCTCTTATTGTGGGTGTTCCTGCCAAACTCCATCCTGGGCCTTTTTATCTTTTCATTCTGTACTCTCATTTGGTGGTATCATCAGCTCCCATGAAAGTTAAATTATTATCTCTATGCTAATGATTCCTAGATTGATATCTCTAACCTTAGTCTTTTTCCCGAGGTCTAATCTCATGTCACAAACTGCCTATAGGACCTAAATGTTTTGTAGTAGGCATCTCAGATTGGATATGTCCAAAGTATAATTATCTTTCCCCCCCAAATCTACTTATTTTGCAAACCTTCCTATTTCTTTCAAGGACACCACTATCCTTTCAGTCCTCTAGGTGTGCAGCCTCTATTTCCTCAACTCCTCACACTCCCTAACCCTACATACCCAATCA